GGTGCCACCTTGCGGGCTCCTGAAAAGCAGTATGCGCCCGCAGTGGATGTTCCCATGCACGAATCCGCTGCGATGATAAAATTCAAGAGCTTCGAGCAATTGGATCATCCAACTACGGATAATTTCCACTGACACGCTCCCCACGATGTCCAGGAACTCGGATAGGGACCCTTTGTTCGCATATTCAAGAAGAAGATAAACTCTCCAGGTGCTGTCTTGGGCGTCAAAGGACTCTAAGGGCCTATATATCTTGAAACCAATAAAATCCACAAGATTGGGATGTCGTAGCCTTTTCAGAGCCTCTAGTTTGTCCTCACTGGCACGCATTCGCTCCCGAAAATACAGCGGTGCCGTCCCATTTCCGTCGAGAGAAAGCTCTTTCAGGACAATAAGAGGTGCATGTGAGCGGCTCTCGGACACCACGGGTCTGACTGTGAACGTCTGCTTTCCAGGACTGCTCTGTAGAAGTGTCTTCCCATATACAGCCCTAAAACCTAGCGGTTGTTCATTTGTATCGCTTATGATCAATGGTGGATCAAAAGTAATGGCGTCGGGGAAGTGGTCAACCGAATCGACAGAGCCGGAGAGGCCTGCACCAGAAGACCTACTCTTTCGCCTGGAGAGTCGAGCCTTCGTCCGTTCTCTGAGCTTATCCTCCAACAGCTGCTGCAGAGCTCGCTCTTCTTCTGCTGTGGCCGCTTCCTGTTTTCGAAGCTCTTCTTGCCGTTCCAGCTCTGCACGCTGATTGGCAGCAGCTTCTTGCTCCATGCGTTCCACCTCTAAACTTGGTAGATCCTTATCCTGGGCTCGCGCCTGGGCAACGTCCTCGAGAACATCCTGTATCGACACGGCGAGCTCATAGATCATCTCAGAGCCGAGCAGCTCTTTCGGTTTGTTTCGAATAATGTCTTGAATTTTTAACCTAGCCCTGTGACGAATGTTCTCTGAATTACCCAGCGAAAGATTCGGATACGTTTTGGGATATGTCGCTGGCAGCTCAACTAGCAAATCAACACGGACCTCGGGATTTGACGAAGCACGTAGATGAAGCTTGAAGGCCACATCGGACGTTTGCTACAATGCTCAATGTCAGCCGCGTCAAAACCTAGTCGGAGAATATCAAGCGCACCTGCCAGGCAGAAGGCCTGTGCTCAATTTCTTCAAAGTCATCACCATAGATTGAGCGTAACGCCTCGGCCTCATTCTGGTGGATCTCCTGGTAATTCGTCGTCGCTAGTCCAGGCTGAGCAAGCGGAGTGGTATTCGGCGTCGACTGTTTCCTCTCCGCTCGGGGAGAGCCGTTTTTATGGACATTGCTAGGATTCTTCTTCTGCTTGTGAGGCATAGCGGGGCGGTGGGCGGTGTAGTAAGTCTGAACCCAGATTCAGTAGGTCTTTGCCACGTGAGACGCGAGTGACAAAGATGCAGCCGAAGCTGCAGCCCTCTATATCTCCGAAAGGAACATATCTATATCTGACTGGGGTGACAAGGTTGAGAAGAATGAGTTGTTCTTGGGCTGGCGGGATGGAGCTTAGAGTAACTTAACGGAAGAGCGTTATATAAACCAAGGCACTGACCCATCGGCACTTGATGGACCCTCAATTGGCTGGCCAGTCTCGCTCCGTCGTTTTCCCGCTCACCGCCCTGAGCTGTTAGCGCTGTCGCTGGAGCAGCGTAAACAAAGCACAGCGCTCCACGTCTCTCACGCCCTGCGCGAACCCCTCTTGATACACCAATGGCGTCGCTGTTGCGATGCGTCTTTTATCCAGCTTGGTAATTGAAAGTCAGAGTTTCCACCGCAGACGCAATGCTGGACTGGATAAGTGGACAGAGCAACCACGTCGCGCATTCCGCAGGTGTGTCCATCAGTGCCCGCCCTGAGCTTTAACACCCACTCAATGGTCGGTGGTGACCAATGATCGACTACCTGCATTTATCTTTTTGAAGACCGGAATCATCATGGTTGCGCGCTGACTTTGTGTTATTGTTCGTTTCCCTAGACAACTCCAAGGTTATGGATCCTCCTGAAACACCAGCTCCTGTGTTTGCTATTCGCGCCTTTAAAAGTGCCCTATTTGGCACTCCAGGAGCGGAAGACGAGGAGGTTAGCGACCAGAACTCGAAGTCGGATGAAAAACTAGCGAGTCGCCAGCCGAGCAAAAGTGATCTCTTGAAGCCCCCAGTTGCTTATCACGCGACAAATGTCACCAAGGCTGACAAGACGGACCTGGATATGGCAGTAAACGCGATGGTGTCGCCGACCAAAAGCATATTGGTCACACCGGGTACTGCTGCAAATCGGCGAAAGACAGTCTCGTTTGGTGACGGCGTTGTTGACAATGAGAGAAAGCGAAACGATGCGTCCGCGCAATCGTCCAGAACGCCGACGAATCTGTCCGGCAACCTAAGCAGCCAATGGCTGTCCAGTTCTTCAGACAGCAAGGGCAAGCCGCGAAGCAGACTCACGCAAGCACTACTGGATTCTCGGGACAAGTCTCCCAATGACTCTAGGACGACTAACGGCCAACAAGTCGATCCCAATCCTTCCACGGACACCGCGTCAAAGGAGGCACCGCAGGCGACCAGGGAAGATGACGAGACCGTCAATCTCGATGACCCACGCTCTCAGTCTGGCAGATACTGGAAAGCCGAGTTTGACAGCTACCGCGCGAAAACGACGAACGAAATCAGAAAGCTGATTCAGTATCGGTCCGCTGCCAAGAAATTCGCTCTAATGAAGGAAGCAGAAGCTTCGCGTCTGGCTAAGAAGCTGAAGGAGGAGGAAGTGAAGGTCGCCGAAATGGAACGACACGTCACACAGCTCGCTTCCACAATGGTAGCGGAAAACGCAAAGGCAGACAGAGAGCAATTGGTTCAAGATTTGACTAAACAGACGGCTTTAGCCCTGCAGTATAAGCATCGAGTCAACACCCTACGCAAGCTCCTAGAGCAGCATGGTGTTGTCGGCACTGAGGTGGATGAATTCGTGGAGAAACGAGAAGGGAATAACTCGTCTAACGAGCCAAGCCAGGAGCTGCTTAAAACTCAGCAGGCTTTGAGTCGGGCGAATGCCAGGATTGAGGAGATGAAACTCCAACAAGTTGAGTTCGACAAACTCAAGGAACTTGCACAAAGCTCTGAGCAGAAGGCCTCTGAGCTGGCCCGAGAAAATCTCACACTGAAGCAGTCCTTGGCGAGAGTCAAACAAGAGATGAGCAAATACGAAGGGCGACGCAAAGAGAAGGAAGCGAAGCTCAAGCAAAGAGAGATCAAACTTGAAGCGCGGATTCAGGATTATCGTAACCGCCTGAAAACGGCTTCACAGGAACATCGCGAAATGGAAGAAGACCTCCGAGAGTCGTTCAATGAAGAACGACGTCGTATGCAGGACCAGATTGACCTTCTCCAATTGAAGGTAGCGGCATTTGAGCGTGTTCCCGACAGTAAGATCCGCAGCCGCCACTCATACAGTCCGCACAAGGACTACACTGGTGTCCAAGTGCACGATTTTGGGCATACCATCGCTCAGCGCAACGAGACCGAAGAGTCGCAGGAGATCGATGAACCGCCGAGTCCGAGCCCACGCTCGAAAAACCGACGCTCACGTAATCTACACAACCCCACCATTGATATCGATTTAAAAAAAGCTGCTCAAGCCCTGAGTATGGAGGGAATCAATGCTCAACAGCTGCCTTTCACAGACTCACCTCTTAAAGCCCCGGGCCGTCGTTATCGTAGAGCGACGGTCGCTGCTGCTGACCCAATTCCGCCGTCTTCGCCCCCTGAGTTAGCACCTATTGACGTATCTACCGAGATACTTGCTGAAAAGTCGAAGTACAACCACCATGACTATCAAACGCATCTGCCGACTCTCACTACACTCGATTCCCTTGCGCGCCACCTAGCCGACCGCGACGAGGGCCAACAATATCGTACCCATCGTCAAAAAGCGCGCCGTGCGCCGTCAAGATACAGCTTGGATCCCATATCCGGCTTGGCGGACCTGCGTCTCACCGAACGAACGGGAAAGAGACACAGCCTGGCTGCATTACAACGAGACTCTATACCGGTGGAACGGATGCTGGCTGCCCAAGCACGACTCAAGCGAAAGGACCAGACTCGCAAGAGCAAAGAAGGGGGCAAGGAATCTGTGAAGGCGTACAATACATGATCATTTCATTCATTTAATATCTCTCTTCTCTCTTTTTGGTCTTGGGAAAGCGTTGGGTTTGGGGGGTTTAAAGGACTGGCGTCGGGGTCTGATTTATGCCAAGTGTCTCAGCTTTAATATCCCTGAAGTTCTTCAACATTACGATTCTTGCCTTTTCTCATGTGTCTTCATCGTCCCTCTTTTTCTCAGAGATTACCGAACGTCCAGTGATTGGCCAGTATACCCTTAGGAAACTCGTTTGTGCTATGTTAAGGAATACTAGTTTCCCGTCTCTTTTCATAGATATTGCAAATTGCCTATATCTCCATAACAATGATACGCACTACTCTGTAGTCTTCGGTGACGGCGAATTACTAGAAGCAGTAATACTTCCCACAAAGGCAGACAATACAACCGCTCGGAAGCCATGAGCGGTTCAGTAACAGTTACGTCCTTAGATTTGAGTATTTGAGAATCCTGGTTCGCAGCAGATTTTGTCCAATAATCCAATCGGTTCTGGCATTTCTGTTTCTCGAGGTTTATCCAGCTGAACACTATTTTATATTTTCGAGGAGCCTGGCGAAGTGTAGTAATTTACTTGTAGGAAAGAGATGCTGTCCCCGCGCAACAGATCCACATCTTGTTCTCTTCTTTCTTCTTTATTTTGAGAGAAAGGGCGTGCCTACTATTAAACTGGGGTAGATTCTTCTGGCAGCTAGTCGACAGGTGATGTGATATTGGAGATAAGAATTTGGAGGGTTTTGGATGCGGTCTATATTTTTTGGTAACGCGGAGATAAAAGAAATGAGATCACCTAGAGTATGTTCTCAAATGGCACGAGATAAGACGATCACTTCAGCTGGGCCTCAATGAGTCCGTGGCAATTCCCCGAAATCTGATACACTTTCTTGACTTCCAATCCAGCCAGACCCAGCACCATCTCCCACTCCTTCAATGTCCTTTGCTTGGCCCCCAGAGACATCATGATCATATCCATCCACCCTTCCTCGACACCGGCCTTCTCCGCCGGAACGACAATCTCCTCAATCAGAAGCCGTGACTTCTTTGGCTCCATGGCCGCAGCGATATTCTTCAGGATCCGAACCACGCTGTCCTGGGGCCAGTTGTGGAGACAACGGCGGATGAGGTAGGTTAGAGCTCCTAGGTGAACATTATGAGCTAAAGCGAAAGATTCACTTGTAAACCGCATCTTACCGTGAATAGGCTGCTCAGTAAAGAAATCATAGGCCATTCTCTCGATCGCAGGATCCAATGAGCCATCTACACTCTTGACCACATGCGCCTGATCCTGCAGGATATACCGCCCCGGCAAGCCATCACACAGAGACCGGATCCGGTCGATGGCCTTCCCCTTGCCGCCGCCTATATCAACCGCGACAATGTTGCTTGGGCTGGGCTTGAACTGGGCTAAAGTTCTCCAGGGGAACAGATCAATCATCCACAGCGGCGTCATCGCCTGCACCGTCATCCCGTCATTGAACGCCTTCATTCGCTCCGGCCTTTCAGAGAGGTGTTCAAACATACTTTTCCCGTTTGTCTTGTGGGCATACGTGTACGGATTGTCAGTGGTGGACGAAGGTTCCCGCCAGCCATTGCGTTGGAGGAATTCATGCAGCTTAAGATGGGTGGGCATATGGTCGTCCATCCTATCGGCTCCTCAGCATTTATGAACATTAAATTGGGAGAGAAACATTTACGCGAATCGAAACATGCCGCGGATCTCGGGGCGCAGATACGCCTCGGAGAATGGGGTGTGGCGGTACTGGCCAGGTCCGGTCTCTTCGAAAGGTCCGTACAGCGAGGAATTTCTCAGAAGACGGGCTAGTCTATCTGTGAATAGACGGCAATCATCGATAAGAGTGCACTTACCAAGAAGAGACTCCTCGACATCCAGTTCCTGCGCCAACTCTGTCGTACTGCGAGATACTCCCCCCGTCGGGAGCGCTTCGAAGACTCCCATCTCCAGCAAGGTGCGGACGCTCGCGAGGTGAGCCGTCTATCAACCTAATCAGCAGTTATCCCTTCATCCAAAGCCCTTTGGGGGCTGCTATGTCCCACCCTTTCGAAACAAGTAGCGGCGGCGTCGATAGGGCCTTGGGCAATCTGGAGGAACTTGAGTGCCTCCAGAACCAGATCGTCACGAGCGGTTTGTCTGGCACTGCATTTTTCTATACTATTATCCTGGTCACTGAGAAGGGTCTGCTCACATCGTTCAGCAGCTTCATTGAGGCGTTGCAGGGCTCTCTGGATCGGGAGATATTGATCGGTTTCTTGGGGGATGGTCATGGCGCAGTGATTCTTACTCCGAGTACCATGGGCGTTTTGCACGAGCATCTTGATATGAAATGACCCAGACAGAGGGGCTTAAATGCTATCTACGTGTTGTAGAGGGGAGTCAATCCTCCTAGAGTCTTTTTGCCCGACGTCCATTGTCGTCCAGCTCAGGTGACCCAATTTCCGTTCATGAGCAGGATACGATAACAGCCATGTGGCTGATCTATCTCCTTGCAGAGTGGATGAGGTGGCATTCTCACCGCTAACTCAAGGGATGAAAGATGGCGGAGATAATGTCACACGTCACTGATATTATGCATGCATGGTTTTGTAGGCCTGTACCGAGTGTTCTGCAAGACCTGCAGGGAGTATGCGGCAAATGATTGGAACTCCTCGATGCTTCTTCGAGGCTGCAACTGGCTGCTCGAAATTCTATACTACCCTGTGGTTGCAGAAAGCTGAGTCATGCCCCATCCACATGGTCACCCTGAGCCCTTGCTTGCCTGACATTGCATTCCTGGAGAGCCAGCAGAGCCATCCTGTTCGAGGCCCTTTCTGCCACAAATAGCAGTAGAATTGTAGTCAACGGACTTTGGCATGGATTCTAGTTAGACATAGGGGCGATCATGTAAGACTCTTGCATGCGGATATGTGCTTAGGTTTCCTACTAGGTCGCAGCATGAGCGGATGGCCAGGTTACTGTGCCCGGGTCTTCAGATGCAACCCACCACGCGACCGTGCTAAGAAATCCCTAGCATGACAATGTTTTGAATAAGGAATGAGGGTGGCGCCAAGGCCGCTGGGTTAAGATCGGAAAACCTGAGGCGCGAAACAGAGTCAGTATGCTATAAGCGTAGAGGTCCAAGATAAATCATATTATGAAGCGGACGCGGCCCAGCCTGACTGTAAGCACAAATTGCGTAGGCTCGCTGCCTGCTGTAACAAACATAATGAGGATGAAACTCTTCTTTTTTAGCAACAAATTTCCCAATGATGATTTGCCAGATCTGCTCCGGCGCCTGCGGCTGCATTCACAATCGCCGGAGCATGTCGTACTGCGCCGAGTTCTCGAGGAGACCACCCGGGTGGTCAGAGAGGAAATCCGCCGTCTTCCACCCGAACTGAGAAGTCTTATTCCCCCATTTCAGTCTATTCTCGACCTGGCTGAAAATTACAACTGGCACAAGGGATCTTTGTCCGGAGCTTTCGAGTGTGTCTTCTTGTGTCTTGTGCCACTATGTCTCTTCGTTGGGTGAGCTCCCTTCGCAACCAGACAATGGTAGATCTATCTGACGAGGGATAGGAATTACGAGAGCCGACCTCATGAATATGGCTTCGATGCCCAGAGATCACTACTTACCGGGCTTGGGTTGGGCTTTCTGGCCGCCACGGCTATCGTCGCATCCCCCTCATTGCTGGATCTGCCCACCACTGCAGCCGAGGTCGTCCGGATCGCTATGAGAGCCGGTATCTTACTCTATCAAAAGTCCCAGGACCTGGAGCCGCAACGGCTGGACGGGCCACCGGAGAGTTGGACTACGGTTGTGAGGGGATTGGACGAGAAGACGGTGCAAGAAAAGCTGGAGATGTTCAACACCTCTATGGTAGGCAGGCCGATGTCGATGACGCAATTGAACGACAGGGAACTGATATGAATCGTTGCGTAGGAGAGCCCGCCGTCGAGCAAGGTTTACATCAGTGTCGTGGAGCCAGATGGCAGCGTGTTCGTCAGCGGTCCGCCATCGCGACTGCGCATGTTCTTTAACAAACCCGGAAAGGTTCAATCGGCTCCTCGTGCCCCCTTGCCTGTGTACGGAGGACCCTGTCACGCAGCCCACCTGTACGACCGAACACACAGCGCGTGGGTAGTGAGCGAAGTCCACCCTGGCATTGCCAGTCGACGTCTCTCGGGAGCTCCTCTTATGCTGTCAATGGGAGATGGCCAACCGTTGGCGGGCGACTGTGTAGGAGATCTTTTCGAATCGGCCACATATGTGCTTCTGACTAGTATAATTCGCTGGAGCAGCGTTCTCGCTGCTGCCACAAAGTTTCCCCACTGGCGACATGATATGAAGCTGCAGCTCGAGGCATTCAGGCCATCCTCACCGGTCGTCCATGACTTGCTATCTGCAGTGCACACAGGTTACCCCGAATGCGATGTCAGCGTAAAAGATCTTGGCCAGTGGATCTTGGACGATAGCCTTATCCCTCCATCGAGCGCCGTCGACTCCAAGATCGCTGTGGTAGGAATGTCTTGTCGGTTGCCTGGGGGTTCGGATGATTTGCAGCGGTTCTGGGAGCTCCTCGAGGATGGACGGGATGTGCACCAGAAGGTTCCGGCCGACCGGTACGACGTCGAGAGCCATACGGACATTACTGGGAAACGACCAAACACGAGCCACACCCCGTTCGGCTGCTTCATTGACAGCCCCGGACTCTTTGACGCCGGCTTCTTCGATATGTCCCCCCGTGAAGCAGGACAGACAGATCCCACCCACCGCCTGGCACTGCTCACCGCATACGAAGCGTTAGAGCAGTCTGGGTACGTGCCTGACCGCACCCGTTCAACCACCCGAGACCGAGTAGGGACCACCTACGGCCAATGCTCTGACGACTACCGCGAAGCAAACGCCGGGCAGAGCATCGACATGTATTTTATACCAGGCAATTATCGGGCATTTGCCCCCGGCCGGATCAGTTACTTTTTTAAATTCTCTGGCCCCAGCTTCAATTGTGATACAGCATGTTCCGCCAGTTTAAGTGCGATCCAGATCGCCTGCACGGTGCTGTCCCGCGGGGAGGCCGACATGGTTGTGGCCGGGGGATTGAACGTCCTAACGGGATCAGATAGCTTTGCGGGCCTTAGCCAGGGCTTTTTCTTATCCAAGACCGGAAACTGCAAGGTGTTCGATGACAGCGCCGATGGCTACTGTCGTGGCGATGGGATTGGATCTATAGTCCTTAAGCGCCTATCCGATGCGCAGCAAGACAATGATAACATCCTTGGGGTAATCCTGGGTACAGCTACCAACCACTCATCCCAGGCCGTCTCCATCACTCATCCTCATGCACCCACCCAGGAGCAGCTCTATCGTTCCGTTCTTACGCAGGCCGGCATTCGCCCGGACGATGTGGACCTGGTTGAGATGCACGGCACCGGCACACAGGCTGGGGATGCGGCCGAAATTGAATCCGTCACCCGTGTCTTCAGTCCTTCGGTGCCTCGACGCCTGCATCCGCTGTATATTTCGTCTGTCAAGGCCAATGTGGGCCACGGGGAGGCCGCGGCTGGCATTACAGCACTAATAAAGGCGCTTCTGATCTTGCAGCATAATGCAATCCCCCGGCATGTGGGCATAAAAACAGTGTTGAATTCCAGATTCCCGGATCTTGAGCGACTAAACGTCCGCATCCCCATGGAGACAATCCCTTGGCCGTACCGGTCTGACCGGAAACGACTCATCATGGTCAACAACTTCAGCGCGGCGGGAGGGAACACCAGTTTGCTGCTGGAAGAGCCGCCGGTACGGCCAGATCCTCATGGACCTCCGCAGACACGATTCGTCGTGGCTGTATCCGCAAAGAGCACGATTTCCCTGCGACGCAACCTCGAAAGACTGATTACTTGGTTGGAGGGTAACCCATCTACACAGCTGGCGAGCCTCGCGTACACTACCACCGCCCGCCGCATACATCACAAGTGTCGTATCGCGGTCCATGGCGCCTCGATAACCGAGATCGTCCAAGGGCTGCATCGGCGCTTGCCTAATGTGGAGACTCGACGACTAGTGAGCAAACCGCCCTCAGTCGCATTTGTCTTCTCGGGTCAAGGAAGCTTTTACATGGGAGTGAGTGGGCAACTCTTCCAAGAGTATCCCCCATATCGGGAGCAAATCCAGCGCCTGGATGAGATCTGCCAACAGAATGGGTTTGGCTCAATACTTCCGGCTATCACAGATGCTGGCGTCGATGTCTCTCAATTAAGTGCGCTGGTGACTCAGCTTGCCACCGTCTGCGTGCAGATCGCCCTGTGCCGCTTCTGGAGAACGCTCGGACTTAAGCCTGCCGTGGTTGTCGGGGCGAGTCTGGGCGAATACGCCGCGCTGTATGCTGCGGGTGTGCTGTCCGCCAGCGACGTGATATTCTTGGTTGGGCAGCGTGCTCTGCTTATGCAGACGCTGTGCACCGCTAACAGCCATGGAATGCTAGCTGTCCAGGCAACCGTCGACGACATTCGTCGCTGCGTGCAAGGTCGAGCATATGAAGTCGCGTGTATTAATGGGCCCCAAAGCATTACAATCACTGCATCTATCAAGGACATTGTAGACATACAGGAGTCCCTAGGCTCACAAGGGTACCGCACTGCCAAGTTGAAAGTCCCGTTTGCGTTTCACTCCTTGCAGATGGAGCCCATCTTAGATCGATATGAAGAAATCGCGAAGTCGGTCCCTTTCCGAAGTCTCAAGATCCCATTTATTTCGCCCACGTTGGGTGACGTGGCCTTAGAAGGTAGGACCTTAGTCGCCAGTTCATACCTGCGGGATAACACACGGGCGCCCGTCCGGTTCGCGGAAGCCCTTGCGAAAGCGCAGGATATGGGACTTGCCGGCTCCCATACAGCATGGGTGGAAATTGGAGTCCACCCGACCTACTCGGGTGCCGTGCGCGCCACTGTCGCAGATCTCGAGGTAATTGTGCCAAGCTTGCGGTCAGATGAGACTAACTGGCATACATTGGCCATTAGCATGTGCACCCTTCAGGAGGCTGGAGTTCCACTGGAGTGGAATGAGTGGTATCGACCCTTTGAGTCGGAGGTCCGCCTGCTAAACTTGCCACCCTATCAGTGGGACCTGAAGAACCACTGGATCCAGCATAACGGAGACTGGCTGCTGGTGAAGGATAAACGGCCCGCAACTGACTCCGTTTCCGCGGCACCGCCATCCTTGCGCACCGCTTTGGTGCATCAAATTCTGGAGGAGTCGTTCTGGGCCGATGGCGGGGAGATCATGGTACAGTCTGACGTGATGAACAAGGACTTTTTTGCGGTTGCATCAGGGCACAAAATGAGTGGGCGCCCGCTTGTCTCAGTGGTGAGTCGCGTAAAACGATCCTGACAGGCTGTGTGCTAGACTAAATTGCCCTTCTGCAGTTCGCCTACACGGACATTGCTTTCTCACTGGCGAGATATATGTACTCCCGCCTCAAGCCTGAATCACCACTTCCGGCCATGGATTTTGGTCAAGTAAGGGTCTTCCAAGGGCTGATCCCACGAAAAGATCAGTCCCAACCACAATGGGTTCGGATGCGCATGCAGGCAGACCTCCAGCGTATGGCGATGCAGCTGTCCCTATATCACCTCCTGGACGACACCTCACAGACCCCAGAGGAGAAGCTGGCCAGTGGTGTCGTAACATGCGGTGACAGAGAGAGCTGGCAGGACGAATGGGCCGGCTACGCCCACCTGGTGACCACCCGGATCGCCACACTACACCAGATGGCGGATCACGGACAAGCGAGCCGGGTATCGCGGGATCTGGTGTACACACTCTTCAAAAATATCGTGGACTACTCAGAACTCTATCGCGGTATCCAGTCGGCGGTGCTGCACGGCCTGGAAGCTGTCGCTGATGTGATTCTTGCGCCTAGCCATGATGGTAGGTGGACGGCGCCTCCCCACCACATCGACCCCATTACCCATGTTGCGGGACTCGTACTCAACGCCGGTCATGCGACCGACCATCACAATACAATTTATGTAATGGACGGGTGGAAATCAATGCGGTTCGCCGAGGAACTGGTCCCGGGAGAGTTGTATCGATCCTATGTAAAGATGAACCCGGCCCGCAACTGTTCGGGTTTCTTCTTCGGCGATGTCTACGTTCTGCGTGGGGACCGTGTTATCGGAAATGTCCGCGAGATGACATTGCGTCCGCTGCCTCGTATACTGATGAATCGCTTCTTCGACCCCCCGGACGGAGATGACGGGCGGTTGCCTCACCAGGTTCAGCCCCGAGACCTGCCGCAGCTACGGCTTCAACCCAGTGCGACAACAGAGTCATCATCTGGGTCCGACCGGAAGGTCTCAGGTATCGGGTCGCCCACCCCGGAAGTCGACTTGCCAATAACAGCATGTGAGCGGAAGGCGAACACTCAGCTGGTCCGTGACGCACTAGCCCTCCTCGCTGCCGAGACTGGAATGGAACCGGACTGTCTGACAGATGAAACGGAGTTGTCTGCACTTGGCATAGATTCGCTTCTGTCACTCGTCCTGAAGGAAAAGTTCGCGACCGAGCTGCAGGTTGATATCCAGAGTTCTTTCTTCCTGGAGTCTCCCACAATCAGGGAACTGAAGGAGTATCTCACCGCGTCTTATTAAAGGGGCTTTCGAGATGCATGATGAAATGGGTTTGAGCTAGGGAAGCTGGATGGCCGTGCCGATTGTATATTTGTTAGTAGTTCAGCTTTTGCTTTGTTTGTCTGGAGTGTTTATGCTTCTCTTCGTTCAGACATGAGCAAGCAGTACAACACTGGTGGTCTGGGAGCGGGCCCATATCTGAGCTTATCGCGTCATCATGTAGAGGTACGGTCATCTTTGGTGCAGATAAATAATGAAAAAGAGTAGTAAGTGGATAATGCCACAAATTGATGAAATTGCAATGGCTGGCGATCAAACTTAGGTCGTTGAAAATAGGTAGGGACTACCAAACAGACGGTAGGCTGATGGACACTCGAGGCAGGCAAAGCCAAGCCTGAGTTCTGCTCCCCTGTGCCGAGTGGGCTTAAACTGCCACCACAACTAATCTACTTCTTTGTACAAACAGAGTGGAATCCGACATACTACGTGGCCGATTCATGCTTGAACCGTTTTCCCTCTATCCAAGAAACGTCGTCAGTATGAACGACCTGAATCACTACAGGTGATGTGACTTTTAAAGAGAAAGATCGTTGAGCATTCCTTCGTACGTGGCCTGGAGAATAATACCTATCTGTTCCGAATAGATTTTGACCATGACTACAGTACAATATGGACCAGATACCAGTGATCAACTGTTACTATACTCCATACACATATAACGACAGGAACAAGACCGGTCACGATCTCGATGCTAATATGCGAGATACAACATCGGAGAGGATCATTCGCTTCTGGGCCGAATTCGCATTGTGACTGACAGATTAGGCAGATAGGCCGGACCAATGGTGTATCCATACGGTGGCATCTCCTTGTGTGCAAGTTCTACATCGTACTGCGACAGAAATTTTATAAAAATTGTCCGGCAAATCTATTCGGACTGGCGTGATCCACTTCTGGCAGGAACCTGACAAGTCGTGCCGCGGATGTTGATGCAAGCTATCGAAGGTAATACCACAATTGCTTAGGCTCGAAGCGAGCACCATGGCCGAAAAGCAATCAGGCTCGTACGGGGTTGATATCCGAGTTCAGCTGAGAGATCAGTCGGAACGCTTGCCTTGGTATATATGATGATTATATATTTCGAAGTCTATTCTATTCAATTAAGGGATATAAAATTACGCTTTGCCGTCACAGAAAGAGATGACGGCATACTTGCCGCTCCAAGCCCACTTCCGGGCCTTGGGGTCGTTCCCGCCTTGCGTCTCACGGAGTTTCTCGTCTTCACCTGGCTTCAGACCCACAACGACATCTGCTTTACAGGTGCGGAAGGAGAGGATGCGGATACCGGAGCTGGGGCCCAGAGGGCCGATGGCTGTTGTAAACGGGGTTGTTGGGTCCCAGGCGGCCTGTCAAATAGAGTTAGCGATGAAAGCAAATACTAGTACGCAGACTTGAGGAGAAACTCACATCGTTGGTCAACTTCCGGTAGTTCAAATCACCCTTGAACAGGACAAGCTCGCTCTGCTTCAGATCCTCAAACAGATCGGGTGCGACATACGGCATCCGCCAGTAGGAGCCTCCAGCGGTCCAGAAAGCGTGCGGACGGATGACCAGTTTTCCCTCGCTGTGGAATTCACTCCACTGCTCAAACAGGAACCTCACCTCGGCCAATTCCTTCTCAGTGAGGGGCTCGTACTCGTGTCCTGTCTCATCCGGGGCCGTATAGAAACCCTGTGCGTCGGCCAAAGCGTTGAGGAGATCCATAAAGTCCCGCGGAGTAACGTCCGACACGAACCACGGGATCACCTTTGGATGGAGTACCACGGTTGTCGCTAGGCCCGCCGAGAGGAGGTAGCCGGCCAGGATGAGGTCCACGAACAGCTCAAAGCCAGAGTTATCAAGCACAATATCAACACGGCGCTCGCCGTCCTTCTTCTCCTTCTGCGCCTTGGCGAGAACATCAAAGGCGGCATCCAGGTCGTTGACGAGGATGTTCTCCTCGGCCGCCTTGCGCGCCTTGGAACCCTGCAGCTTCTGGATGTCCTCGTATGTGAGAGAGGTCAAAAGAGAAAGATCTGTCGCGTTACCCCACAGGCAGATCTCGCACATTTCAGAGAAGAGCAATCGATCGGCTTGCTCGATCTCCTCCGCGGCCTTACCATCTACTCCCTTGCCTTTCTGTGCGTGAAGCGCGAGCTCATGGTAGCGCGCTGCTAGCTCGAGTACCGCTGGACGTGACGACTTGAACGTAGACATCTTCTGCCGGGAGAAAACATCGTACCCCTTCCAGTTTTTGGACATTGCGAATAGGGTACTGATGCGCCGGTCTGTCTTCGTCAGCACCGTCCGTATTAGCATGTATGAAAACCGTGAAACGCACAAAGATAGCATTCCGAGAACAACCATGAAGCATTCTGCCATGAGGGCGTTCCTCGCTGCTCCAATTCCTGGTTATACTCGGCAACACCTGGCTGGCCATCATCGGGGAGCGGTCTAATAAAAAACACCAATCAATTAGCCATTCTTCGATACAAGATGAATGGAGAAATCACATACGTCAGCTTCCTGTCGTGCTGGATCTCATATTTCAACTTCGCCAGTTCCTCAATGATAGTCTTGCCCTCCTTGCGTTTCTCCTCGTCAGTGACGTCGGCTACGGTTCGGTGAAGATCATCGATTGCGCTGGTCTATACCCTTCCTGATCAGTCATTGTAAATTGATAAAAGAGCCAAAGTGCGAAAACACGTACGATGATGACCGGCCACCGTTCGCGAGCAGAGACGTAGCCGAAGCTGGATGGATCGGAGGTGAGGTATTGCGCTGTGAGTGTGAAGCAGAGTGGGGTTAGATTGGTGTGCCCCTCTTTGAGAGAGAATGGGGAACATACGGGTTTTGGGGTCGTATTCCATCTTTTTTTCGTTTCAATCACAATTCTTTTGGGTAGAAAGGATGTTGAAGAATTGATAGATTGAAAGAAAAAAGAAATATACGGAGTAGCTGGAGGTGAATGACGATGGAGCTCTTAAAGAGCTGGACTGCGTGGGGTAAAGTGGGCGGATAATTGCCCAGTGAACGGCCTCATAGGTGACTCGATTTAGGAGCAATTGTGAGCGACTACATTCCCCTTCTCCTGCATTGAAAAGGTCAAGGAAGAGAACTGCTTAATGATGAAAGTGTTGGGGTCAATGTTACTTTAGGTCAAAAAGCTATCGTGTACCGATCTCGTCCACAAAGATTTGTTCCGCTATGCAAGGGATCAAAGACATAGATCAAAAGAAATAGATACACCACGTCTGTTATCCCAAAAACATCCATATGTAGCATCTAATTCCCATAACCAGAGGTCGCTATGTTCTGACCAAACAAGGGAGATCTTTCTCCTATCCAAAACAAACGCCAACCAGTGCTGAGTTCGTAAAGGTCATATCACATCATCGACAAGATGGAATTCTGCGCGTAAGCCTATCGAGAGGGAGTTAGCTTTGTAGCTTGAGCAGATCGAAAAAGACAGAATTTACCATTGGCTTGATGTCGGGGTGAGGCACTGCTTCAAAGACCTTGAAGTCAAGCTTAAGTTCGGGCCCAATGTTGATGAATGCACCCTTGTTCTCGGTGGTATCGCAGTACTTGGGCGCGGAGAAGACGGTGATGCAGCGTCCGTCGTGCTCGACCTCGTAGCCCTCCATGCGGACCTCGTGCGACCGAATGATAGCTTCCAGTCCGTTTTTCTCGCAGAAGCGCTTCGTTACATCGGGTCCGAACTGCAGGCCAACGCCTCTCTTGCTGGGCCCACGGCCAGGCTCGGTCTGAGGGTCTGTCCAAAGCATCTCCATCATCAGCCCTTGCTGTCCAGGCTGTCGTTGGTTGTGCCGATTCAGTTTCCGGATATCGTCCAAAGTGACCTGGTCGTCGGAGAAGAGGCCACCGTGCAGCACAAGATACTTGCTGCCAATCAATGTGGCCAGGGGCAACGCGGAGAAGGATTCGGAAAAGACCTTGAACAGGCGTTCGTTGTACTTGGCTTTGCACTCGCCTTCGAAACCATATACCTTGTTCATGTCGTCTGTCTCGTGGTTGCCCCGGTTCAAGAAGATGCGGTTGGGGCGCAGCCACTTGTATGCATAGAGGAGTAGCGCAATCTCGGTGGACCACGAACCACGGTCGACAAAGTCGCCGTTGAAGAGGTATGCATGCGTCTCGGAGGGGTAGCCATTTATGTTGAAGATGTTTAGAAGGTCGAAGAATTGTCCTAGCTCCATGTTTAGTGGGCAAGTCACCCGACACCGCGCAGAAAGCCAAACTCACCGTGTGTGTCACCACAAACCGTCAACTTAGTACCCTCATCCACGCCGATCTCAACCATCGTCGGTTCCGCATAGACGATATCCTTGACAGCCTTGATGATCTGGAACGCATACTTGCGATGAATCTTCTTGCCATTCTTGAACCTCTCAATCATATCATCGATGAACTCTTGAGTCATCTCCGTCTCCAAGCGAACGCCATCATAGGAGGAATCGACGGCAATCGAATCAATATCCAAGTCCTCGAACGCAGACGGCGGCTCCCCAACCTCAATTGCCTTCTCAAACTCTAACCGCCGCACGAGCTTCTCACACTCTGCCAACTTTAGTTTCGCATCGCGGTTGTTGGGCTCCTTCTTTACAACAGCTTTAAAGTCTTTGACGGCTTCGCGGTAGTTCAGGATGGCGGTATTCGCAAGAGCTCGTCTCCAGTATGCCTAGCAGCACGGTTAGCCACCATTTTTGCAACAAATTTTCTTGAAAATGCACATTCGACGAACCTTGACATAGGAGGGGTCAAGCTCCAGAGCCTTGGTGGCATCCGCGACCGCAAACCCATACGCCTCAAGTTTGATATATGCCTGTGTCCCACTGTATCAGCATCTGCCCTCACATTTCCTTCACATTCTGGTATAGACACCGGCTCCGCCCCAAACATACCTGCGCTCGGTTGCTGAAGAACGACGGTTCACGATCGTACTTCTCTATCGCCTGCGTGTAGAAATCGACTGCGGTAGGCCATTCATGCTCTGCAAATGCCTTGTTCCCTTGCACTTTCAGTGCAGTGGCGGCCTCGAGATCGGATGAAGCCATCTGCGAAGTGTAGTAATCGACCGAGGGAAAGGGTGCGATGGAATCGGTAGATGGGCACGAGGGCGATTTCCACGGATGGTAGACGGATCGGAGAGAGCAAACGCAAGGTTTTCGCAGAGAGATAGATAAATACGGAAAGGGGAGAAAGAAGTAAGAAAGAAAGGGAAAGGTAGAGATCAACTGTCAGCGCTTCCTGAGTTCTTCTTCTTCCTTCTTTTTCGCTCCCTTTGGCGGCGGCGTGCCAGTCCTCCATCCGTCTGGCCCATTTCCGTCCGGTCTTGGCATTTCCCTTTCCCGTTCTTCGACAGTCTTCTCCTCGACCGCTGCCTTCTCCAGAATACCAAGGTCAGCCCTCATTTCTTGCTCACTCGACCGTCAATCTCAGTCATCCCCCGGAGGAAAGTCTGAAGAGAGAGTAAGACCAGCCATGTCCTCGTCCTTCTACGTCGCCCCAAGCCAGCAGCGCACTCTGCGTGCCTGCATGGTTTGCTGTCTCGTCCAACTACACAGTGTACGTCCACCTCGCCTCAACACCCTATCACACCCACTAATCTCATTTTTTACGCGCAGAAATTCATGCGCGAAGGCTGCCCGAATTGCGATAATATTCTCGGCCTCCGCGGCAACAACGACGCCATCCAGGAATGCACCTCACAGGTCTTCGAGGGCCTGATTACCCTCCGCGATCCGACGACTAGCTGGGTCGCCCGCTGGCAGCGGTTGGATGGATACGTGGCGGGGACATATGCTGTTAAAGTGACGGGATCGGTGAGCTGACACTTTCCAGCATCAACTAGTGATATCGGACGAAGCTTATAAATGTTTAGTTGCCAGACGATGTCATTACGAACTTGGAGGATTCGGGGGTTAAGTATATCCCGTACGTTTATCTCCTCGGCTCCTGCGTGAGTGGTGGTACTGACCGGCTTGTAGGAGGGATGGCAGTGCGTTGGAGGAGGAGGCCTAGATATTCGGTTGGTGGTTCTTGGCAGGAAGTACATTTTGCTTGGATATAGGGGTGTCTACAAGTGGACGAATTGTTCACCACAGCATGAGCTTGGAGTTTCGGTGTTATACATACGGCATCGGGTTAGTAAATGGGCTTGCGCAGGGGTTTGCTCCTTTCCTTTCTTAGACCTCCAGATGATTTTCAGGTCAATGATGTTTCTACAGCGCTCCTTTGTTATAAAATTGCCGATACCCTCTCTACACTCGGAGAATATCCACTGGAAGCGATCATATTCGATTACCACTTTTAGAATATAACTCATCATATATGCTATTCCGAAAAACTCGAACCCGTGAGATATCCGCTTTAAATCAATCATAACGCCGAATAGTGCAAATCAAAAGACCAAAGAAAGCCAATTGCCCCGTTGAGCTAGAAGCCCTATAAGCTTACAGCTGCTTGATGATCTTCTCAACACTCTCCAGGAGGATATCAGCTGTAACACGTTAGTTTCTCATCCGGGATGTCAGGCTGCAGAATGCTTACCGTGATGCTTCTGGAAGATCAGCATAGGACGCAGGCGAACAGCGCTCATGCCACTGCCACCGATGTTGACACCAACGCCCTTGGCCTTGGCGAGAAACTCGTCGCGCTTGGGGGTGTCCCAGGCGATGAAGGTACCCTGGCCTTTGCCGCGAAGGTTCTGCAGATGCTCGGGGTACTGCTTGGCCAGACGCTCCAGACCAGCGAAGAGGTAGTCTCCGGTGGCGGCAGTGTTCTCAACGAGGTTCAGACGCTCGATTTCCTCGATGATGCCGCGGAAGATGAGGGCACGGGCCGGGTCACCCATCCAGGTGTTGAACTGGCGGTAGGGCTTGTTGGGGCGCAGAGCTGGGTTGCCGTAGTAATAGCCCGCGGTCTGAGCCTTCTTAGAGAAGGTCACAATGTCGGGAGGGGCCTGGAGGTTCCAGTGATCGTGGGCCCAGAACTTGCCGGTGGCACCGACACCGGTCTGCACCTCGTCGACGATGAAGAGCACGTTGTTGCGCTTGGTGATATCGCGCAGACCTTGGAAGAAGGCAGGCGAGGCGTGGTTGTCACCGCCCTCGGACTGGATGGGCTCGACAACCACGGCAGCGACGGGGTTGTGGAACTCCTTGATGAGGCGCTCAACCTCCTGCAGGCAGCGCTGTTCCTCCTGGGCGTTCTCCTGTGCATGCTCCTCCAGAGGGTACTTGAGAGAGGGGAAAGGAGCCTGAGGCCAGTCAAAGGCGGGGATGTCCATCTTGTGGATGGCCTTGCTGCGGGTGGTGGACAGACTGCCAAAGAGACGGCCGTGGAATGCGGACTTGAAGGAAAGGATCGACAGCTGGGGAGAGCCAGGGGACTGGTTGTTCATCGTGGTCTCGATCTCTTCCGCAGTAAACTCAGCCTGGGGGCCTCCACGCTGCTGCTGACGGTAGTACATGAACGCGGCCTTGTAGGCAGTCTCGTTGGCATCGGAGCCGGCCATGGCGGTGAAAACCTGGTCAAGACCCTTGGGGGCAACCTTGAGGATACCGGTGTTTAGGACATGAGCCCAATCAGCCGAAGGGAAATTGCCCAGAGCTGGACGGTTGATCAAAGCAGTAACCATCTCGGGAGAGGAAGCGACCTGGCGCAGGTGGGGGTTGTTGTAGCCAACAGGAATGGAGGCAATCTGAGCATAGCTAGACATTGCTTGCATGAGCAGATGTTCGGTTCTGAAAGGACAATGATGACTTACACATCGAGCAACACGTTCCCGTCAAGATCAGCAATGCTAGGAACAATGTTAGCCTAACTCGCACCACAACGGCCGACCTGATGAACGTACTAATTACCAATAGACTTGGTATAATCTGTCAGCATGTTCAAGCTGCGGACATCAAAGACTTTGTCCAGCTCAGCAGTGGCGGCCTTGTTCTTGGGTCCCGGAATCGCGGTGACCACCTTGGGAGCACTGGGCTCATCGGTAAAGTAAGGCTTCGCAGCTGCTCGTAGGTGCGGGGAGGTGGTGAGCGTGCGGGCTGCGACAGGGAAGCGAGAAATGGCGCGGAGCCGGGGAGTCGAACGAGCAAGGAATGCCATTGTGAGGTTTGATTCTACGAGGCCGGAGTAAGAACTTGAAGATGAAGAATGTTCAGCAGGCGAAAGGTCGTACTTATACCAGTGGGACAACCCAGCACCGAACCTAGATAAAAGATGTGGGGAGCGGCGATAAGAGCTCCAAGGGCGCTGAAATAGTGAGGTAGAATTGAAGCTCCAAATTCGATCAACAAACTCAGAATAGATGACAGAAGAAAGTCAAGCAGTAATTCCAATGAGAGCGAGTCCAAAACTTAACCGAAACCAGGGGTTTGCGTCCTTATATACATGTTGACTATCGCAAGACCGCAACACAGATGGAGCTGCTTCTGAAATGCCGCCCCGCGCGTCATTGCTCGTCGGCGTTTTTGACCAATAGCAGAGCTTGCAGCCACCGTTCACTGTCGGCGACACACAAATGTAAAGGAGCAGCAGATTGGAGTATGGAGTACGAAGCAAGGATGGAGCCGGTCAGTCACTTGATTCCTATTAATAATGGGAATGGGAATAGGTGTCTTGAAAGAGGAATGGACTTCCGATGATATGTCCCGTTCCCCATGCTGAAGGCCTTCTGTACCTTAGAGATGCCCGTTGCCAGCTTCTACAATAATGCCCACTGCCAACAACTCCCTCCGCACGATAAGGATCGCCCGTTTCTCGCACTAACAAGCCAAGGATATGATTTGCGGAGTATCAAACCGACGATCTAGAACGTTGATAATGATCAAGCGACATGCACTCAATCTTGGCTCTACGAATTGACCCCAGAAGATGCAGCTCAGTTAGCTTGAAGATCTTCACTAGGACCTTTAGCACACTCTTCGCCTTCAACCTAAATACTACCGTTGGCTTATTAGGGAGGTGCCGTGTGAGACCACATTTAGAACAGACGAGAGCCGTCGAACCACCATGGGTACGATGGCTTAATTCCACAAGACGGACATAGATTGTGTACATTGGAATAATGAATATATACAGGAATTGCAAAGAAATCGCCTCGTCAGAGGGTATACAGACCATTGGGTGGAAGCTCTTCGTCCACGTCGTAATAATGCGTAGAGTAACACAATACAGGAATATTATTTTCAGAACAAAGATCAGGTCATCAAATCCCCACGGGGGCGGCATTCAAATGAGGTGTTCGTCCCCAAAGGGTGACCCAGGTTTATCGCGATTGAGCGACGCCGACGACTTGTGACTCCCCGGAGAAGTGTACACAGTGCTTTCATTCTTCAGGTCGAAATGAGTGGTCGGTGTTGCCACTCGGGTGCGGCTTGAAGACAGGTCATGGTCTCCTGTGGCCGACTGGTGGGAAACCCTCGGTTCAGTCCATGTTTCCATCTCGACGGTGCGCATCACCTCAAACGGTTCCGCAATGCTAAGCCCCTCAATACCATACTGACGTGACTCAAGTCGCGAAGCTTTCGAGGGGCCGGTTGACGAGAACAGCTTGTTACTCTTGCGACCCGTACCAGAGGCGTAGTTGCGGGAAGTTTGCAGAAGACGAGGTAGAAAGAAACCGACAAGAGGTCGCAATGCCGGAGCAGAGGCACAAATCTGGTCATTTGTGAGCCGTGAACAATGATACCCATTTCATCCCGAGAACATACCAGGCCTATGTTGATTTCAACAGACGCGGCGAGCAGGACTGGCCAGCCCAGCCATGTGGTATCGTATGAGGCGACCATGCTCTTGTAGACGTACACCGTGCGAACCGAGCCTGCTATATTGACCACAATACCCAGGCTGAAGATGGAAATTACGGCAATCCTCTGTCGAGTAGGTAATTTCAAATTCCAAATCAACGGCATAGGAAGGACAGTGACGAGGAAATCGGTGAAGATATTGATGACACTTGCTGCGAAGACAATGGCACCATCATTCAAGCAGTGGTATGGATAAGTGGGCGCCACATCCCAATAAGCATGAATCGGACTATGAGGCAGATGTAAGTCATAGCAAGAGCATGAGACTGTCAACTAACTTACTTGCACTGGAAGATGCTGAAAAGCAGAAACAGAGCGCAGGTGAGGGAGACAAAAGCCATTCCCCCAATAAGACACCAGTTGTAGGTTCGGTAAAGGCCCTTACTTCCGGCGCCGAGAAGACGCTTGCAGAACCATAGGAGCGAAAGTTTGGTGACAGAGGAAGACAACGAGAACAGAATTTGAAAAACCATATTGAGTTTCGAGACAGTAGTAAGCCACGTCGGTGGGACATCCCACATATGTCGGTTCCAGCCGTATCGTACCGTCGCGAGAGAGGTAATGGCACACATCGCAATGGCAAAGCCCTGAGACGATCAGCAACGGTCCAGCATCTGTCATCGCCGAGTCTTATCACGTACCAGGGCAATCACAATCAGAACATCATCAAGACCGGGACTATACGTAATCTTCAAGCGAGTGTAAAGGCGAAGAAGCGTAACGACGAATGCGAAAGATAAACAGACAATATTAACGATGAGGGCACCATTCCCGCGAGTGGGGGGATCGACGTAGTTGGGTATCGGCCATGTAGCCAGCACTTCGGGAGGTGGCAGTCTCATTGTCGCGACGTCGTTAGAGATTTTGATCGACGTGAAAATATACAGGGTCCAGTCGTGGAGGAAAAGAGGTCAGTGGTGTCGTCGGATGGTCTGAGTCACGCAAGCATGACTGTCATCAACGCGATCAAAGAGTCACGGAACCAAAAGCCATGTTCGGGCCAAACTGCGAGCGAGGCAAGCAGAGACTTTACAGCCAGAGGCTCTGAAGACAGCCCTCGGCAATCCAGAGAGTCTTGACGAGCGAGGTCGATGGTGACAAAGGATCAAATGGCACCCTAGAGGACGAATGCAGCAGGAGACAGCTGGCCAGTTGTTATATCCTGCGCACGGAGCCAAATATCCAACACAAGAGCCCAACAGCCAGAATCTGGCCCTAAATCAACTGTGGTCAGAGAGCCAAGTTTCGGTGGGGATTCAGCTTCCCATATTGGGCTCCACGTGTGTTCCATAGTTCTCAGACCAGTCCAGGTCGCCAGCTGCACGGAATTTCCAGGAGAGATCCAATAATGCCTCGTCGCCACCATGGTCCATCTTATGTGGTTGCAAAAGTAGTAGTATCTCCGAAAGTTTGTTGGGATCAGATAGTAGCTCGTAGCTATTATAGGCAGATCCAGGACCCATCGTTCCCCTTCGACTCCACCGTCGAAGATCTAAACGACAAATCGCCGACGACGACACAAAATTGCGCCGTCGCTCTCTCAGCGAAGTCAATGATAATTCTATATCCCGGCCAGTCTCGAGACTCCAAAGTCAAAAAGATGAATTAGCTGGGATCATTCGCCAAACTTGACGATTCCAGGACAGAATGATTGGTTAAATTTCCGACCCCTGGAGATCCACCAAGTTTCTTGCAGCTGCGGAAGCCAATAATGGCGAGCCATACGTGGTCCAAGCAATCTCACTTGCATCCTTACTCGCGGGGTCTATTGACTACTCAGTACTCAGCAGAAGTCGTTTGACTTGTTTCAGCTACGAAAAGGTGATACCTAAGGGGTATCTAGATGATCTGAGATTCGTGGTGGAACTTGGAGTAAGCGGAAGGCAGGAGCATTGTGGGGAGCAATGAATCAAGACTTTGTCTCAATAATCAGAAAGACTAAGAGGGAAGAGAGTGTGGCCCAAGTGTAAGAGTGGCTGAATCGCCGAACAAGTCTTCCCACTTTGCCTCGGTTCCGACTTTTCCACGAGGGCCTTCGCTTCTCTGGGTTAGCGCAGACCGCCTCCCCCGCCTCCACACAAAAAGTAAGATAGAATCAGTGTATCACAAATAACTTATGGTTCTAACAGCACTTTTCACCGTCTCAAACATCTAACTAATGCGATTTTTCCATGGTGGAATATATTTTGCCATGCTGAAACGTCTACAGTAGGCTTTGGCCCTTGATTCGCTACCTAATCCGGCAGAATGTCGGCATTTGGACCTTGGGCCACCAAGATGTAAGCGAACATTTAGCGAATCCCACCTTTAGGATCTGGACTCTTGCAGTCCCTTGTATAGATATGGTACCCGAACACGGATGCTTCGTACTTATCTGTACACTCAAGTAGTGACCTAAGGTCTAAGGAGGTCCCTACTATGGAGAGTTATAGGTTTATCTTCGCTTATTGGTTGACAAACGGAGCAATTATTCGGATCATATACTCGAATGATTGCGGTCGACCAAGAATACCGCAGAGCCCTTGACCATGGATGAAGCAGCCGTAAAGTTGATGCCTCAAACTTCCAGCGAGTCATGACAGCTACCAAACCGCTCGTAATCGTTTGGCCACCCATGGCACTCGGACGGAAATCACAATATCAAAGGTCATTTTTCCTGACTTAAATTTGGGTAAGTCTCTCCTTTTATCCGGAGAAACCAGCATATCTTGAATTCGGACTCTCAATTTTGAACTTTCAAACTTTGCTATCAGAAGTCACCGGCTTGATCAGAGCAATGAGATCTTTTGTTTATCACACACCAACCCAGTATCCTTCTTTTGAGCCCGCTCTTCAACTGTGTTATGTTAAAAATCACTCAGCCATGCACTGGAGTCGCCTTCTAGGCACTCTTCTTACCGGAGTTCAGGTCAAACATTAACACAGCTTCCGAATATGGCTGATAGTTCTTGACATTTGCCATATACAACAACACAAAAATTGGTCTAAATGCTCAAAATCGGATATGACTTGACTTGCCCTAAATGGCTAAATGTAGACATGCCTGATCGGATCCAGGTGGGTTAGCTCCACATATATCAATAGTGGACGATCTTTTGCAATCTGGGCGCCGATCGTCCAGACAGCGACCATTGGATCTCTGCAGAAAATTGTGGTTATCCCAAGCTTTTTGGCTAGTTAGCATCTGATGAAGCTTTTCAGACTTTACAGATCATGGGCCAAGACTCAGCAGAAGGAGGATCAACCTGACTTTCATTCCTTGATACAATATCCGACGCGGTTCACGAAGCTTTTAGAAAGTGCAGGCAAGGAGAGTCTCCGAGCTTGGGTACATATGTTCAAACTGACCAAGGGACCGTGTGGACCACTCTGAATTCCCCAGACCTCTCATCTCGGGCTTGCTCCCTGATTGTAGAGATAGTCATGACGATGGGTATAGGATGATGCAATAGAGCATAACCACCAAACTGGCGTATTCCAGTTGTCCTTCCCCAGAAGCAAACTAGTCCTTTTGATAGCAACGTTAATATTGCATCTACAGTCAATCTAATCTAACCCACAATCTGAATATGCGATGGACTTTCAGCTTTTCATATGCCAATGCATACGTTATCTAGTAGAGACACCAAGTCCACACTCCTTCGGAACATACGTACTACTATGGCTCAGGACTATCAATGAACCTTCCAAAGGCTAGTCACCCCAGATACTATGCCTCTATGTATCGTTTGCCATCCTCACTTCTATATACCAAGTAACAAGTATCACTTCAATCGTCGTCCGTCCAAGAAACAGCCCAAATCACAACTTGACAGAACTTCCAGATCCACGACGGACATCCGTAGCCCTCCGTCATAGTGAGCCTAATATGTCGGTTTCGTTACATGTGTCATGACTGAAACAGCAACTCCTACTTTGGCAATTCCATTACACTGGCCAAACTCTCCATGAGGATAAACCTTCTCTCAAGGAGATCAAAGTATTGCACGCACTTGTACGTCGATTTCCATTCCCTTGGCTCTCAACCCGCCGAGTTAGACTCCGGCGAGGAAATATGCTTTGACTTGCATAAGAGGTTGTGCAGGCAGAGGATCTGAGGCGAATGTAATAAGCCCACGCTGAAGAAGATAAACTGCTCACTGGGACAGTGGTCGGGGATTTTTGAGTTAGAACTCCTCTGTTGCATCAGGAGATCGCTATGTTTGAATGGTTGGGCTTAGAAAGCAGTCCTCTGGGTTCAAAGGCTGTGCTTGCTGACATGTGTCTTGCGAAAGGTTGCAGATATACAGACGTACTACCCTACTCAGAATGAAGAGCAGTCAACGATCTCAGCTGCGAGGTAAGGAAAGCGTACGTGAATTCTAAATATTCAGTAAGAGTTAGCAGATATCTGCGAAAGTTTAAACAGGCGTTTCATCGAGTCCTCTATCAACTGCAGCTGAGATTATACCAGGTGCTCTTAAAGAAGCGCCAAGGTAAACATGTTCTTTATCCCCGATATCAACTAGGCAGGATTATGAGATGGGCCTACCACGATTGTCATGAGTTAATTGAGGATTAAGGAAATAAAAAGCTATAAATTGCGCAAGGTCGGACACCCTGTACCCCGTAGATTGCGGCTTGAGCCTTCTGCAGCCTTGCAGCTGGGGTGCCCCTGTAGTGTTTCATGGACGAGACAGTGGCAAATCACATTTGTTCCCTTCTCCTGCATGCTTCATCTGGTGTTTCAACTTCGTTTGGGGAAACTGGACTGAGGTGAGTGCGAAGAGCCAAAGTGGTTTCTTCAGGCATACTGTTCTCACGTCGTACCCAAGTAATATCAAGAGTGCGTAGGCTGCTTCCAGGTTCCATGGTCCATAGCTGCTAAAGTGTGCTAAGGTTGTGGGTCTAAGATGAGACAAACACCAGATGGAGAATCCTTATTCAGTCTGAAGGCAGATATTGACTCGAGTCACTCGACAAAGTAAGTGCCTGCTACTCTGATTCAGTTTTGAGAGTTTCACTCTGAGAACCACTCATGTACATCCTTACAGTAGCTGATTCGAATCATTCAAGGGTGCGCTCATGCGCAGGGCGTGAGGGGAAGTCGAAGTGGGACCGGAGAGGCCGAATTTCCAAGGATTATTAGCCACTCAGGTTTCATTAGAAGTAATCATGCAGAATAACAACTTGAATTTATCCCGATGTTGCAATAGGCATCGCCAACATTATAATCATGTTCAATCGAAGGTAATTCTGCTCTATTAATTGGCTTGTCATCGGACAGATCGACTATTTTTAAAAGGCACACTGCATCTACCTCAGCTCAACCGACACAATGCGACTCATTTTCAGAAGTCCAATGCAACATTCATTGACGTATGGATATGAGATCTTCATTAGGGATATCTGACGTGCAAAAACTGCGAGCGCCTGCTTCCTGTTCCAGATGTTGCTGCTCTAAGGAGGGTTAGCTGGGCGAGTCGGGTGATCCGCTCAGCCTTTAACCCCTGATGTATACTAACCCTATACTCACGCTGGTCCATGGGCAGTTCTTCGAACATTTGTCCCTCAGCCTTTTGGCAATTGCCTTGGAACGGTCAGTTGTAAAATGCGATGTTGCGTTTCTACTGGAGAGACCGAGTCTACTTCTTGATCTTCTTCTTCGACAACTATCAATATCACATTCTCCCGTCGGCTTACGGGGAGTAACTGTATAATGCACACTATAAAGCCGTCCATTCCTCGTTTGTCCGCCTTGCTTCGCAACAAATCGTTTCCCATGCCTTCTCCTGAGGCACCTTTACCGCCCGTCATACTCGTTGATGAAGAGATCTCGCCAGTATACGATTCCAAGTACTTTTACCCAGTTAGGCCTGGAGAGGTACTCACCGATCGTTACCAAACTCTGGCCAAGGTTGGCTAGGGTGTGTCTTCAACAGTATGGCTTGCGCGTGATCTGCAAGTGTAGCCTTTGTTGAATTCGAAGCTCTCTCTCTTTCTAACAAACAGACTGGCATATCGAAGAGCCAGAGAGCTTTATGGCACTGAAAATCGCCAATAATTATGCGAGTTCCGCTTATCATGAGCGTTAGGTTAAAGAGTACATTTCCACCAGGTCCATCACATCGCGGTCACTCACTGATATGAAATTACTAGACTCTTATGAGAATAAAGGTCCAGAAGGTTCTTATTCGTGTCTTGCATATCCACCTATGAGGGAGCCATTGTCGACGTATCAGCGGCGCTTTGACGATAGAAAGATGCCACTGCCCCTTATTAAAATATACGTTTGTGCTCTCCTCATGGGGCTTGACTATCTTCATAAAGAATGCAGGATAGTTCATATGGGTAAGTTTACCGTCGCCTGGCTTCCCGTCGGTGATACTGAGTTTAGGCGGCTGCCTAAGGTAGATCTAAAACTTGAAAACATCATGGTCTCATTCGAGGATCCAACCGTGCTTGCTGATTTCATGGATTCTCAGCTTGAAAAACTAATGGCTTTTAAGATTGATTCGACGGGACGACCAGTGTATCAGTCCTATAATGGCTTTGGGCCACTCAAAAGCCCCAGGAGTATACCACAGCTTGTCGGCTTTGGCTTGGCAACCAAACTCGAGGAAGACGACAACTGGGGCATCTGGCCTATTCAGCCGGACCACTATTGGGCGCCAGAGGTGATACTGGGTAATGGGTGGCAAATGCCTGCGGATATTTGGAATCTTGGTGTTCTGGTGCGTCCTATTGTTGTCCAAGGCTGTTGCATCCACTAATACCAGACCAATTGTGGGATATGATCAAAGGCAAAGAGCTATTTCGGCATATCCATGATCAACAAGGTCGCTACGTTGATAGACTACATATCACTGATATGATAGCCTTACTTGGTCCAACCCCTCCAGAGGTGATACAAAGGTATCAATACATGCGAGAGTATGCATGGCCTGAACCTGTTAGACGAGAAGACGGCAGAGTACGCCAGACCGCGGAGGAGTATTTCTGTGGGCCATATTTTGACAGTAATGTATTATTGGGTCTCATATCTCGAACGAATTATGCCCAGATGACGAAACATCTTAGGTATCTTTCTCTGCGAAGATCTGATCCCCGACCGGAAACTAGGCGACACAGTTTCCTTGCTTGAGGGAGAGGAAGAGGGAACCGTTTCTGGATCTCGCCAAAGGAAGGCTTGTCTGGCATCCAGATGCGAGAAAAACGGCTGGCGAACTGGCGAAGCATCCTTTTCTTCTACCAAAACAAACAAGCGCCTGATTTCTGCGAGCGTTTGTTAGCGCCATGACTCGAAATCATGGTTGATCCCAGTTCGGCAGTGCCAACTGATGACCGGTTGAAGCGTTAACGTAGTTGTCTTCTGAGTGATATTTAATAGAGTCAGTTGATCTGTTTTTGATCGCAAAAAAGTGACATTGTACTTTAAAATGGGATCTAAGCCATTAATCGCAAATTCATCAGGGTTATAATTCTAAAAATTGCTGTCAATGCGCGTGGTACGTGTAATTGGCGAATGTATAAAATATATTCACCACGCCTCCCCCAGTGGATCGGCACTCAATAAAATAAGCAAAGGCAACAGTTTCCCCCCAGCAAATCTTAGGTTGTGTGCTTTGAAAATGTTTGCTGTGGGAGGACGAACTGAAGTGAGACGATGTATACGCGCTCGTCGTAGGCTGGCGACAGCAGCCTTGAGTCGATTGGAATCAGATACGCGTATGGATTTAGCAAATTCATAAGCAAAGTTCGCTCAGTGCGCAAAAGCTAAGTCACAGCTGCCTATGTAACAAGCGGTTACTAATGCTGCACAGATTCGAGCACCTACTAACACACTCCAAAAAAGTCCTTTACAGCTACCTAGGTGATACTTTAACCAGGACGTTATTGAAGGCCAGATACAGCTGTAACTTTGGGATAAACAAGTCGACAGTTCTATCTAGATCTTAGATGATATACTTAGATATATTCATGGAAAGTCAAGTAACTTGAATGATTAAATGGAGGCGTCTCTAGCGGACGCCCCTTTTCGGAGCAAAAGATATTTATGGCTCACATCCAAGCCACTTGGCAGCCAGTTGTCCATCTGTCTCAGAATCGAAACTTCGCCGGAGGAGCCGTTGACTGGTGCATGTGAAGAAGGCCTGGACTGCGGCGTGGCTGGACCCGAGACTGTCCGCAGGCATCCTGGCCAATGAGCGATGGTGCCTAGAAGCAACGGCAGTTCCCGCGCTGACGTTTTTGGTTGCGTGGCGCTCTTTGAAACAGGAGAGAGTCTGGGCTCTGTACTCAGTTGTACAATGATACATGAAAGTTGTATGTACTAATATCAGTACGTGGCATAGAGGTTGGACGTACGCGGTGATAGTAGTAAAGCTGAACGGGATCTGTGCCATAGAAATGTCGATGGCGTTAGACCAGGCTGAAGGACAATAGAACAAATCAAGTTTTCCATCGCAGTCAAAGACCATCGCTTGGCCCCCAATCCAGACCTGAAATCTTCCAATGCGGAGGGCGATCGATGTGATTAATATTAGTAGTAGACTAGTACCTAGTAGTACCAGCTAGTTCACTCCGTAAGGTAGCCTCGTAGGATCCTTCCTACGATTATTTAGACTAGCGTATCCCATTCTTCTTCTTCTTTTCACTCTACCCTTCAATATTTTAATATTGTTTCCTTCTTTGAGTTTCCTTTTTTTGAGATTCGACTTACAACATTCGTTCATCATCCCGACTTGTCTGGTTACAAGTTTAATTCCTCTTCCACTCGTTCGAACTAATCCTTTAACCTTCGACGTTCGCTCTCCTTACTTCTCACCTCTGTCTTCCAGTCTACCATAATGGAGGGACATGCGGCTCCACCTGCTGCAGACGCTGCAGGTGCAGGCACAACGACCGATGCTGCTCCTCCAGTCCAGGCAAATGTTCATGCCCATGCTGTCCATCACAACCAACCTGTCAATCACGAGGAAAAGGAACCTGTTGGACGCGTCACGCCTCGACCAACCTTTCTCGCAAACCTTGCCGACTCCCGCGAAAGTCAATTCAGTTTTCACCGTCGCAAGAACGATGACTTTGACAGCTACTTTGTACGTGTTGTCTGTTTTGCTCCTGTGGTTTTGATCCGGTACTGATTTGCTGGGTGGATAGCACGGTCCCCGAGACCTCGATAAGCATTCGAAATGGCCGGTCTTTCTTCGAATGCATGGTAGTGTCTTGCCCAAACTGATTCTTCCTATGCTCTTTGTCGCGGCGTGGTCGACTTTGATCACATGCATCTCATACTTCGTACATCCTCGTAAGTGGCTCGGCTGCAATATGTGGTGTATCGCTGGCTGATCGTACCATTAGTTGGCATTAACAATATCCTCCTTACGGTTCTCGGTTTTGTCGTCGGTTTGGCTCTTTCGTTCCGAAGCTCTACGGCTTATGAGAGGTATGCAGTCAACTCCGCAGCTTACCATTGTTTTATTGCTAAGTGTGTCTCAGATGGGCAGATGGACGAAAATATTGGGCGCTCTTGGTTCAGACTTCTCGCAACCTTGCTCGCACAATTTGGGTCAACACGGCGGAAAGAGAAGGTGAATTTGAGAAGGATGACCTGCTGGGCAAACTGTAAGCCTCACCCAGAATAACATCGTGACCCGGGCTAACCCATATAGAACGGCCATGAACCTCATCCTCGCCTTTGCCGTCGCTCTAAAGCACAAACTGCGGTTCGAGCCGGATATTGCCTACGAAGACCTGGCGGGCCTGGTCGGACACCTGGATACCTTTGCCAAGGAGGCCCACGATCGTACAAACCTTCAGCCGCCCAAGAAGAGTTCCTGGAAGGCGTTTGGTGAATATCTCGGCGTCTCCTTCGCCGAGTCGAATCCCAGGAAGCTCGTCAAGCGCTCAAAGAAGCCTCTGGGACATCTGCCCCTGGAGATTCTCAATCACTTGTCTGCATATATTGACCGTTGCATTGCGAATGGCACTCTGTCCGTCAGTCTTCACCAGAGTCAAGCCAGTAAGTCCTCGTCCTCTCAAGTGCCATTTGGCGTCTGGACGATGTTGCTGATTACTTCCGCCAGTTGCTGCTCTGTGTTCCTTGAATGAAGTCCTCACTGGAACCGAACGTGTGCTGGATACGCCACTACCGGTGGCCTACAGTATTGCCATTGCTCAGATTGCCTGGATCTATGTCCTGGTGCTTCCATTCCAACTCTATCCCGCCCTGAAATTTATCACTATTCCCGGCTCTATCGGTAAGCCATCTCCCTCCTGTCGCATATGTGTGCAGAAACTAACTTGCACAGTCGCCGCATACATCATCCTCGGACTTGCCACGATCGGCAGCGAAATCGAGAACCCCTTTGGCCACGACGTCAACGATCTCCCCCTAGACACATACTGCAGACAGATCGCCATCGAGCTCGACATCATGACCGCCATGCCGCCCCCCAAGATGGATGACTTCGCCTCTCGGGACGAAAACCTCGTCCTCTTCCCTCTCAGCACCTCTGGATACCCCGACTGGAGGAACCGCAGCGTCGAGGATATCCGCGATGCGCTGCGGGCAAAGGTCCTGGCCAACACCCCGTCCCGGGGGCTCTCGAACTCGTCCACCATGTTTGGGGATGGAAGCCTGCGGTCCCGGACCGATACAAGCGTGGCCAAGGCATCCGTTTGAGAGGTGGCTACGGTCGGAAGTGAATTAAGACGAAAAAGTTTGATTTAAATTGAAGTCTGTATATCAGAGTCCATCGGTTATCGTGTTTGTACAGCGTCGGCATTGATCGTCTTTCAATCGAGCATGCGAGTTTCGGTGTTTTGTCTGAACAGAAAAGGGCATTTGCAAGCTTTATATACATCTCTCGTTTATGAATATTGGGCATGGGGGACTGTTTTTTATGCTATCATTTCATACAATAGTCGTGAATATTTGTACGAAAATCTGTGTTCGCAACCTAAGCGACGACCCACCCATTGTATGATCGTAGAAGGCAAACTCATCCGAGTGCATCTGCCGTCATGAGTGTCCTGGATGTCCGGTATTCTGGCCATTATCACGCCTGATGCTACCCTAGCCTCTGATCTGGCGGTTATGCCATTGGCACATCTGATCGACGGAGCATGTATGTAGCACTCCATTCGTCGACAATCCAGGGACTCTGTTTTCGCGGAGCACGTTCGCGTGGGGCACCCTGTCCGTCAAACGTGTCCATCAAACGTCCCAGGGACGCGACAGAACCTCAAACGCATAGACATTCCATCTCATTCATCTCCGGTTTATAATTCCCTGGAAATAAAACCAAACCCTAGGGGACAAACAAATCGCCCCCAGACCCATGTACCACCGCCCCGAGGTAATTCCCCTTCGCACACACCCGCCACGCCACGCTCCCCCCGGTCGCCGTCGCAGATTTACTCCCCCCGCCGCCACCGATCCAGGAGCTCAGCGCAGCAACGACGGCTGCGGCGTCCGAGCATGGGACGCGGATCCAGACTGTCTGCGCTTGGTTCTCCCGCTCGATTTTCAGGATGTCGAGCGGGATGGCTGTGCCTGTGAGGCCGAGGAACTGGGCGAGGGCGGCGGTGAGGTGAGTTTTTGCGGTTAGAGGGTCGAGGGGGAATTGGCTTGTTGATGTCGCTGGTTGGGTGATTCTGCGATTGGACCTGAGTTAGTACCTATGCGTGGGTGGAGTGGTGGGTGTAGAGCGTACAGTTGGAGTTTGAGGTAGGTCCAGGGTGGATTGCGGGAGGTGAAGGTTAGGACCTTGGCGGTGGAGGCTTTTGACGCGTTAGTTTCCTCGGGGGATTTTCGCTTGGATGGTGTCGGTCGCGTTTGGAGGCTGTGTGCTTTGTCTATTGTTGAGGTCATTGTAGTGCTTGTGATTACGCAGTATGCTGTGGGTTGTTGAGTTTGTGTTGGTAGGTAAAAAAGTTGTTGTTGCGGATCGGCGCGATAAGGAAAATGTCCCGCGGTCCGTGTGATGTCACGGTACAGCGGACTGGGACACTTGAGAAAGATAATGGGCATATCCAACCAGAATTTTGTTATCCTTAGAGAATCAATTGTAGTTAATAATGGCCTCCTCGAGTCTCTGGCGAGCTCTTTCTAGAAATTGCTCTTCTCCGTCTTTCCCAATGTCCAGGTCAGTGATAGAAAGAGTCTTGTCGCGCGATTTCAGACCGCGGATTACTTCCGCATTGGACTTGGGAACGTCAAATATCTATCAAGTACGAGAGGTATTAGCAGCGGGAAATATCACGCTGTATAGGCGAAGTGCTCATGAGTAAGAATACCTGGGCAAAAACCCGCGAAACAGCTGCGTTCGCCTCTCCGTTCCTCGGTACCGCGGCAACGCAGACATCGACTTTCTCTGCCCCCACCGCCATGATACCTTCTCGGGAGCTGGATGCGTTCGGTTTGACGTGGCATGCAATCTGTAGGCTGTATTTCTTGGGCAAGGGTTGGTTCTTATTGCGGGATTTGGTGGTTACATTCTCGATCAGGCGGAGGAGAGGGGTAGCGCGACTGCTCATGGGTGGACAGTAGTCAATTGAGCCTGGTGTAAAATTTCGATATGCTCGAGCAATAAGGTAAACTATTCTATCTCAGTTGTGCTTTTAATCAGGTTTCAGCTGTGGTGGTGCAGAAGAGATGTAGAGTAGAAAGCGACAAGCTTTATTGACTCCCAAGTCTTGGCTTGCTTATATATACTTCTGTTGTGCGCAGAGAGAAAATGAAACACCCAGAACCGCGCAGGACTCGAAGATGACAAGGCGCGAGATTGTCTCAAAGAACTGAAGACTGAGCCTGTTGATAGTCTATCGTCAAGATTGCCCTTAAGCAACTATGCCTTCTCTGTCTGCAGCCACTCTGTATCTGCTCGAAGACTATACGTTGAGCATTCGTCAAATGTATATGAATATGATGCGGTAAGATGCCGGTAGCAATTAAATTGCAATGACTACTATGAGTGATACATACGATTAGCATACTTGAAAGGGAGTTCAAATTTGTAGTACCGCCAGTTTACCAGATAACACCTTCGTGGTAGAAGACATCGCGTCGTATCCCTGAAGCCTAGTATACCTGGGGCAGGCGATGATGTATTTACTGATAATCTGATCCTTATCGAGCCAGTTGTACTTTCTATTGCCTCAAATACTGGATTTGAGATGAGTACAGAGAGTAAAATACAATGGAAAGCTTAACCCGGAGCATGATCGTAGATTGATGAATTGCTTGAGACAGTATAAGCCAGAAGTGAGGCAGAGAGGAAAAGAACGAAAATGAACGGTCTGATGCAGGAAGCAAAATGGCAGAGACTCAACAGGATGTTTTGTTTACTCGCCTCTGCAATCCTCCCAAGGACGCTTGCTCTCACCATCATCACTGGCGACGCGTTCACTCTTCCACCAGAACACCTTCTTATCTCTTCACAATAGCATCCTTAACTTAGGCTTGCATTTCTTAATTGTGTACTACTTTTGTTGGAAAGCCCCTAGTCTATGATCACATTTTACCTTCCTCACTAACTGCGATTGATTGCTCTTTGTGAGTCTCTTGACATGTGCGAAAACGTAAACAGGACTGACCATGTGAAAGAACATATTCACCCAGGGGATCCATTGCTTTATCTCATTCCCTTTGGTTCTCAGAGTGCCCTACATCGTTAAAAGATATTCACATCAGAACGCAAACACTCCGTGGTCCCCGGTGTCCAGAGGACGACCTATACGTAACCAATGGACATCTCCACTCGAATGGGCCTCTGTCAGACAGCTCTCTATCACAGCCGCGGTCTTTTCCCAGGACCAGGCTTTTACACCGGCCTAGAGTTCTATTCACTTGAGGAACGAGCGAATCCTCTTACCGTCGAGGCAAGTTAATTCCTTCTTAAGCCTGCTCAAGGACGAGCTTCAACTCAGTGTTGTAGCCGACATGCCATAATTCATCCGTCGTTGTTATCTTGCATGAGATGTCTAACCAAGTATCTTAAATTAGGGAGATTGGAACACTTCGGCTGTTTCTCAATCTGTTAACTATCAAATCGATCCTCTGACTCCCCTGCGTACTACCGTTGGACTCCCCCCCTGTTCGACTTTCCAGGATGCGTCCGCTACTCGAGCGCAATTGACGGGTGGGCGCTCTTCAATATCTGTCTCGCAGCCTCGCCTGCCTGTGGGATTGCCTTCTCTCCCAAATTACCAAAGAGTGCCTGTTTCTCAATTGATGCATGGACCATCGCCTCTCTCTGCTACTCAAGCTGCACCGCAACACCGGCCTCGGATAAAATTCGAGCCTTCTGTTCTATCTCAAACTCAAGGAAGACTTGATCGTCAGCCTGCGGTTCCTTCGAGCGCTGACTCCTCATCACTAGTGGAGCACAAATGTCTGATCATAAACACTAACAAGAACCTGGTAAAGCCCGAGCCAGCAGCTGCAGACGATCAAACCACCCCTCATGGTGATCAAATATACTGGAGTCTGGAAAACTTGCCTGACGTCCTTTACGTCCTCAGACCCAGAACGGACTACCGCAAATCGAGACACCGTGTCTATAAAACAACCAGTGCAATTACTGGAAAGCAGATCAATGGCTTTCCCGTTCTCCCGAGCCAAATCTCCTCCAACGTCGAAGGATGGAGACTCGAGGCCTGGATGCGTTTGGACCGTCGCATCACCCAGCAGGATATCATCGACCGCGTCAATCCCAAGTACACATTGACCGCGGAAGAGATTGAGTCTCGCAGGGAAATCTTTCGCAACACCTTCCACGTGGCTAATTGGAACGCGCAAAAGTCCATCTGGGACATTGATCGCATGCTCAAGGCTATCGGAGTTGATACCCAGAATAATTCCACCAGGGGACTGACGCCTGGCTTGATCGACCCATCAAAGGGTGAAGCCGGCGGACGCATCCCGATACCAGGAGAAAACATCATTCCTACGAAGCAGGGAAGGCCGAATCTAGAAACCGCTTCCAGGAGCTTCGATGAGAAGTGCAAAGGCCGCCGTCCAGGCCCACTTCATGCTTCGCAGGCAGATTCGAGAATGGATTCGAGCAGGTACGTATCCTGGCCTTCTTAATTCAGTCTAGAGCGTAGCTAACGCCCGCGTTAGCCACGAGATCGAAGCAGAGCAGAGTTTATCGCAGCAAGATTTCGCAATTGATACGTAAGATTGCAGCTGTTCCCTAGATCGAGCTCTATACTAACTGAATTTCTATCCAGCCACACGAGAGCAACTGCATCGCCGCAAACTACAACGATTGACTCCACGCATGTCGACTTCGAATACCCCGAGGTAGATGGTTTGACCCATTGCATCGAGCCTCCCACCCAACCCTTCCACGATGAAGACGACACTGTTGGCCGCACAATGACTTTGAAGAGATTTTTGAAAAAGAACCACATGTCGTACGAGGATTGGCTTCTCCGCGATTATGATGTTGTTGATAGAGATACCCTGAAGCCTGGACGCAATGAGGATCTGGAGTCTCAGGAGCCGGCAAACATAATCGCCAGATCGAGGCGCAGACGCGTTGACGATTCGGACATTGAGGCGTCAGTGACCATGGACAGGGGCCGGAAGCGCAGACGTGCTGGGGAAGTGAGTGTCGACGAGTCGTCAGCAGGCGACGATGCTAGCACGAAGCACCGGGTAACAGAAACGTTGAACCCTGGCAAGTCCACCAAAAGATCTAGTAATGATTTTTGGGCTACTGTCTTGAAAGGCTGAGTGCTTACTGACGAATTGGAGGGAGTCTTCGGTACATTCCAGGAGCTGGCGTTGAGGTTTGGTAAAGCTGCCTGTTTCTTCAATTCTTTTCTATCTCCTTTTCCATGTAACGAGTACTTGGGTCTTCGAGATGATTTTACAGGAATGTTGTTTACGCTGAGAATCCCAGGCTTTGCTTTGATTTCGGTTTTCATGGACATAGTGACAGAGGCAGCATGCACATTGTACAAGTTCGTTTCACAGAGGTAGGAATGCATGCCACATTACTTTTTCATTCACCTCATTCCAGCACTTTCTCTATGTATCTACCCTCATATTGGCCTCTTACACTTTGTACAAGACTTTCCTTCCCACCAAGTGTTCTCCGCCTACAGCAATCATCCTCTCTGACTTGTACTTCAAACACACCTCAGCTCTGCTTCTCAAAGTCAATCCTCAGACCGAGACTAGCAGCTATAAATGGAAGTTCCTACTTCATGGCCCTTTACCGTCTTCCACTCCCTCAAGCCCCTCACCAGCCCACCAGCCTGGTTAGTCTTCTTCTAGACAAACACAGAAGCACAACCAAAACCCTATTCAGCCTCATTATACTCAAATACAATAGTCTCACCGACTAAGCGATTTTCAGCTCGGGCCCACCATCTCCACTCGCTTCCTGCCCTGCCGGGGACGGGAGGCCATTCAGCAGCGAGCAGCAGTCAATATAATTGTTCTCAGCTTACAATACGTGCAGCAGACCAGACAATAGACTCCACGAAACACCTGCTATCCAGCCACGCGATCTATTTCCGGCTACCATGTTCCAGCTTTCAGCGAAACCAATGAGGATTGTTCAGCTGTATTGTTCTTAAAAAAGAAGCTTTCCAGCCACCGCGTGGTGTACCTGCGGCGCTGGAAGGACAGGGGCTGGGTGGGTCTGCAGTGTCAGTGAGGATGACAGCGGACATGCGTATCGAGAGGCTTCGTCCAGGAAGTGCGGCGGACAACCCAGAAATGATAGTAACATGGGCAAGCTGCGTATCATTTTGAAGAACAAAAATTCTGCGTTTCAGAAAGACATCTTCCGACAGATCATGTCAAGATGTGTTTGTGAGTCTGGGGTTTTCAGGGGCTCGCTAAGGAGGCGAGGGAGACAAAGACTAGAGGAGGCATGTCGAGTGAATATTAGCTCACTCCGTTTCATCACCATCGCACAACCAAACTTCTCCCGCTTCAGTCGACTATACCAACCTCCGCATTATTGAGAAATCGAAAGAATGAGGAGCTCTCAGAACTCAGTATGGCGAAGTCCAATTCTTCTTCGTCTCTATATTCTCCTGATCTGTCTTCTTCGGGATTTCTCTTCCTCAAACACCTTCCCACTTCATATTCGCAAGTACCAGCTTGCTCCCACAGATCACCATAACCATCAGCTTTCAGCAACAAGTTCCAAGACAGCATCAAGTGAGTGGTGATGAGTGCTCTTTGAGTTGTGTGCACAAGTGTTGCCCAGCAATGCCTAGGTTCAGCACTGTTTCTTTGGCATGGCTGACATCGGTTTGCAGCCCTCAACAATGGGTAAAATCGAGAGAAAGAGTCCCAAGGGCTCCAAGAGCTCTGAGAAGCTTCAGGGCAACAAAAGTGAGTCGACTTCCTTTGTCTCTTTGAAACCGATCCTGATACGGTAGCAGAGAGAACTCCTCGGCAGGGCAGCACCGAAGCCATCGACCCGCGGAACTTTACCAGCTTCCGTGAGGACCAGAAGGATTGGTCCTGGGACAATCTCCCAGCCATCCTCTATCAGTTCAAGCCAACAAAGGAGGACGAGAAGAAAGAGCGAGAGCCGCCCAAGATGAAAGTCGTGGGCGGCAAATGGGTCAGAGACATCGAGATCCTTCCCGATCACATTTCCTCTGACGTCGAGGAGTTCAGAGTCGAGGCATGGATGCGACTCGACAGGCGCATCCATTTACAAGACATCATTGACCGGATGCACAAGGATTTTGCAATTGAGCGCAACGCTCTTCAGCAGCGGAATGTCAGATTTCGCAAAGCTTTCCACCTCATTGCCTGGAGCTCAGGAAACAAGATCAGTTGTCAGCTTGAGCAAGATGTCCTGAAAAGGATGAGAGAGAAAGACATCGACCCTGTGCTAAATTCTACCCGTGGATTGACTCCTGGGCTCATCAATCCTGAGCTCGGGGAAGCGGGTGGTCGCATCGCCCTTCCGGACAACTATGGGCCTGAGAGACGTGGGCATCGTGGGCCACGCACTCCAAAGAAGAAAAGGGATGCGGCAAAGATTGAAGAGGACGTGGATATGGATGCCCTTGACCCTGCCACTCCCATCAGAGAATACCTACCTCTGACTCCTCCCCCGTCCAGGCCAGCTCCCTCCGTCAAGCCTTGCTCTTCGTCAGGTCAGAGGGCAGCATCTGAGGAGTCGGTGACTAGCATTTTAAGTCCTCCTTCTCCTCTTCCAAGCTCCCCTGTTCCATTTTCGCCTATTCTTAGCTCCCCTGTCCTTTCTCCCGTTCCTTCGTCTGTCCCCAGTTCTCCGGGTCTTACTTTTACTGTTCCCGAGGTGGGCCATCTCGACTCTCCTCTGGAAAAAACCCTCTATGATGGAGACCTGTGCCCTTGCAATTTCGACTTTTTGTTCAAGGAAGAATCGCGTCAAGGAGTCGACTGGCCGCGCCCTTGCGAAGAGGAGCTTTCTGGCCTGCGCAAGGACGTACCCAAAGGCTTGAAAACGCGCCACCGGCTTCAAATGAAGCGCCAGCACAAGGCCTTCAAGAAGGCGCTACCTTTCTGCAATACCGATTCCCTGTACGCCAAACTTGCCAGCAAGTTCGACCTCGATGACATGATCAACGTTGTCCCAATTTCTCGTACGACTGCACCGCCATCGCCGGATCCAGTATTTCCATCCCTCATCTGCGAGCCTATGACGTTGCGGCTGATTTGTCGCCCACGTCCTACCGACGAGGGCGCGTTGAAATGGGTATACGACGTCGCGCTCAACGAGTATTACGCCGGGCAGCGATTCCTTTTTGAAATGCCTTATGTGGAGGGCGTCATGTGAGGCTACCTCTACCTTTCAATAACTGCGCTTCCTGTGTTTACTTCCCCTTGTTAGTGGGAGTCTGGTGTGCCTTTGTCAATTTGTCTTCTGTCTGTCTTTTTTGTCTGATGGCCTTTCGTTTCTACAGATACCCCTTCACGCGGAGGAAGTCCTCGATTTCCAGGGAATATTGCTGGAGCGGACTTGGCCTTGGAGTTGACTTCGGGGCTTCAGTGTCTATTGTTATCGTTTGAGCTTTGTGTCTTTCTTTGCTTTCTGATTTTCAACAGCTGTAATGCTGTCCACTGGGCCTCTGGACCGCAAATGGTGTCGTTCGGATAAGGTTGATTGCCAAGGCGGCATTCCGCGGATAGCGTGACTGCCACGAGTCTATGATATGCAAGGGTTGCACTTTCCTCTTTGGGCAGAGTGAGCCGACCAGTGAAATCAATTTGCTTCTTCAATTCATCAACCCTTCAATGCTGTAGAGTCATCGATCAAAATCGCTGGCATCAGCTGGTTTGGATTACCGCATGATATATTTTATAGTCTTTCGAGTATACTTACAGACTTAAAACCTAAAACGACGCAGTAAATAGTCAAGGATGCCAAACAGGAGTACACGCTCATAATTGATCATACGACTAAACCTCCAGTCATTTCTGACATCTTATATATAAGTCTGTTATTTATGTCAAACTTAAGAGTCAGCTGCTTACAAGATTGAAAGAACAGTTTCATCTGAGATCATTCCCTCCAGTATAAGCCACACAGACCGGTAACGTAGTTGCAGGTTCTATAGCATTAAATTCTGAGCATGATTTGTCATAGCTAAGCGGATTTCGTATAAACATGTATAATTATTCAGTTTAACGTCGACATCTATGCGTACCCTTTATTAAATTTGAGAATCACTGTTACTTAGATCAGAGAAATATCCCAGTCCATAGAGGTATGTTACTCTCAGAGTAATATGCCTTCTCTATATACATATTCTCAGAGTTTGCTTAAGCAAGGACCCCCTAGCCCCAAGCTATTCACAATGTTGACTCCTGGTGTTATATTCACAGGGCTTCAACACTCAGGTATAAATGTGAGAGTTTCCTGCTTTTCCCTTCTGTATAACAATTCTTACTCTCTACTCTTCATTTTCAGTATCGTATTTCAAGAATAACACATCTAAGCCTATCTTCATAAGATATGGTCTCTCCACCTATTGATGCTCCTGGTATGTCCCTTCCTACTGCATTACAATGGCACAGGTATTAATATGTTACATCTCAGCTATGCAGCAGTTGACATGCCATCGTCAGTGTTACATGTTTCACGTCAAATAATGCCAATTAACACACCTCCAGATGACGCCCCTCCTGGCCCATACCACACCTGCGTCAACACCCACCACGCAGCCTATTCCGAAAACAATCTACCCCCTCTCCTCTTCCGCCTGGAGGCACCAATATTCGATGATCTCCCTCCTCTCAGAAACCTCGTCGAGAACGGCCAAGTCGTCAAGGACCGCGATGGCCGCCCCCTCCGCGCGTTTCCCTTCCTACATACATCTCCATCCGCCCGGCGGCCTGGCTCCTCGAGTACTGGATGCGGACAGACCCACGCCTCACATACCGCGACATAAAGGCGCGGATGGTCGTCCCTGCAGCCCAGCGGCCGCGCGATAATAGCCTCAACATGCGCCGAGGACGCCAGTGCAGGACTCCACTGGCGCTATCCTGCTGGATGAGAAACCGTCGTACCGTGGGGAAAGTGGAGGTCGAGCGTGTTGCGCGTTGGTCGCTGGACCAGATCAGGTATAACACGACTATGGAGATCGAGTACAGGAGGGCCCCGGGCCCAGGCCCTGGCGACGGGCGTACTACTGCCGTGCGGCTGCGCTCCAGGACTCTGGCGGGCGGCGTGCCGGCCTACTACCCTCTGGATTTGTTTCTGGATGGTAGAGAGGTCCACGTCCCTAGTCAGCGAATCCGCGAGGCGTTGAGTCTCTTCTGGCAGCTGTCGGAGAGGGCTTCTCTGCTCCAGCTTAGGAGTTGGAGGCTGCTTCCGGCTGAGGAGCTCCCTGAGGCGTGGCGGTGTGGGCGCAGGGGGGAGATATAGGCGACGAGAGGGATGTGGAGGCTGGTTCAAGGCGGTCTGACAGTGTCTAGCTGCAGAGTGGGCCAGCCATCCAGGGGATGCTGCTATCATGGAGATGGAGTGTCGCTTGTATATTAATTTGGCTGGAAGAAGACTGAATCCCAAGTTGAAGAACGTTAGTTTGTCGTTCACGTCTTTGGCACAGTGAAGAAGAAATTGGAGTATAGAAAAATCGGCTACCAGATTCATACGAAAGGATTATAGTATTCGAAGATATGTATCTATCATTAACAAAGGACTTGTGAAGGAACTTTAGAAAAGAAGAATGCTATCTAAACTGGAGAATCCCGTGGCCACTCCCCCCTCATTAACATCCTTCGCCTTCGTCCTCATCAACCACCCGCCTTGCTCGTTCTGCAGGACATTTCCATTGGATTGATCCCAGAGAATAGTACCATAGATACCTAACTCCCCAATGACCTTGCCACTGAGTACCTCGCCATCACTCCTCAGAGCCACATTCTTGGCCTCAGCCGGCGGGCGGATCAGTTCCATCAGGATCCACCGCTTCCATTCACTTTCTGGAATTGACCGTAAGAAGCCGGGAATGGCAGACTTATAAATGTTGTTGCCGCCTCCTTCCCGCTGCGGTTTGAGGACGTGGTTGAGAGCTGTTTCGGGATTCAGAGCCAATTCTCGGCCCTGCCCGTTTGAAGAAAGGTCGTACTGAGGCGCAAATGTTTCCCGTAAGCGGGCGACAGTGGCCGGGTCGGTGTCTGCCATGAAGTTCGCAAGGTGATCGGGCCCTGCAGTCTCTGCCAGCACTTGTTGTACAATCTTAGATCCTGCCAACTGATTCAGGACGGTGGGGCATTTGATCGCTGCAGAACGCTCCAACTGTGTCCGCGCCTCCCAGTCACGCTCGGAGGTGTAATCCGTCGGGGCATAGAAGCAGCGGAGATACACAGTTGTCACTTCAAACCGCGTGTCTGGTGAGTGAGGGGGACTGTAGATGAGAGGCCTAGAGGCGTTTGAGCCGGGAATCGATGTGTGATCCAAAATCTCGGTACTGAGGAGTCGGAAAACGGGAACCTTATGGACGGTAGTAAGCTGTCTGGAGAGTGCCAGCTGGTCAAATATGTTCCGTTCGTTCTCCTGTACCACGAACAGAATACACGTGGGAAGAGCCGGGGTCGACTTCGAAGGCCCGTAAGCAGAATGCGCTGCAGCCAGCCCGGCTGACAAGGTTTCCACAGCAGTGTTCTCGGGAGGTACGTTCGACTCGAACAGTGGGTGCGGAGGATATGAGATGGGATAGCCTGGCGGGGAGGTAAGAAGCTCTGAATGGAGCTTTCGCACCAGAGAAGACAGGCCGCCGAAGGACGACGAGATAGTGTTAAACTCCACTTGTTTCAAAGAAGGGGCGTCCGCGTTTGTCGGAGAGTGAGCCATGTAATCGGATCGATATAAACCAAGCGACAAATTCTGAACATAACCCTCCTTCTTGACTGAGAGGTGAACTTTCCACAGACGGGAGATGAAGTCGTCAACGTCAATCAGACTACAGGTCAAACAGTTTTTAGTGCAGAACTTTCGACAGATGCTGTACTCCGAAAGAAGCATTGCATTGAATCCAGGCCACAGAAAAGCATCAGAGTCTTACTCTTCCATAATCGTGCCCAGCCATTCCTCATTACATGTAATTGCAGCATAAAGCTTGTTGTACACAGTCTGCAATGCCTTGGCTTCGTCGAAGCATGCCCTTGGGAAGAGACTCGGAAATAACGTTACTGGAGCGTTCGTCGCCAGTACACCATACGGGTCAGACTCTTTTGAGATGAACGTAGGAGGAGGTCGGACCATCAAGCCATTCTGCGTAGCCCAATCCTTGATAGCCTTCACCAGGAAGTCCTTCTGTGCGGGGTTCAGTTCCGGAGGATAATTAGTATAGATCGAGTCACTCATTTTGAAGAGCGGTGTCTATTCTGCAATGTGGAATCTCAGCACTCAAAGAAGCCCAGAAAAGGAGTTTGAAATCAATTGAGGACTGTTCAGGTGCGAATAAATCAACGTCTCCTGCAAGAAAAGGCCATTATTAATACTGTCGATGAGGGGCCGTCGGCGATTAATCATCGGAGCTTTGGTGGGACTACGCCGTACACCGCCTCTTGTACCGCCTTGACTACCGGCAGAAAAAGAGCTCTATCGCGATAACGGACCGCCGATCTCTCTTTTTGACAGTATCAGTTTGGCGCGTCTCGTTCCATCAACGCGATAAGTTCATCAGAATTCTTCCATAACCCAAAATCAGTAAAGTCAGCTGGAAATGTGATGTCATATGCTTAGCAGCTAGGGTTTTAGTGAATTGCGAGATCTGTGAGATCGCGACTCTCTTGCTCTCCCGCCCAATTCTTCTTTACTTTTGATCGTCCTTCGCTTCTCTCAGATCTCGCCTTTCCTGTGACCAAATGGTGCCTTATCACTCAAGAGAAATCTCAATTTCGGTGATAAGCTGGACCTGCTGATGGGATTACTGTAAGATACTCTGGCTTCACCTCACTACGTTGAGATTCCATTAACAAAATTAGCTCCACCAGGCGGAATGGAATCTGATGGAGGAGATCCCCTCGATTGGACAGTTGACGAGGTAGTAGCCTTCCTCTGCCATAATCCTGAGACGCCATGGTCCCAGTCTGCGTCGCAGGCCCCTCGGCCACACCCTGTCCAATTCGAAGCCGCTCTTCGAGAGAATTTGATAACCGGGGAGGTGCTGTTGCATGATGTCGACAAGGAGACTCTACGGGAAGAGCTTGGACTCAAAGCTATTGGCCATCGTAGCTCTATGCTTATGGCAATACGCTACCTTCAGCGACGTTCTCAAAAATACCAGCGTTCTAGGGTGGAGCTTGCTTCCCAACTTGATGACCGTCGGTATTCAGTTACCCCAAGTCACTTGACAGCCGTTACTCCAGGCCCTTTCGAAGAGTTCTCGTCACCTATTCATCAGAGCTCTGTGCCGCCAACAGCGACTCCTCAGGATCTGATGCAGCGCCCGCATTGGATGACCCCCTCAGCATCTACAGTATCTCACACTAAAAGGACCTTTCCCCCGGATGCCGCGACTTCCAGTGGTCTGAGGGGCGACGAGTCTACTACAACGACCGCTGCTGCTAAAGGTAGTGAAAGTGCAACCACTACCAGCGAGAGGCCTCCAAGCGTCCCTCCACCCGCCGTTAGTAGCCCGCCTGCGGAACAACGTATAGACAAATCCAACCCTGGCGAACGCGTGCGTGCTTATGAACATATCGTGGTTGATGCTGAAGGACAGAAGCGACGCAGACTGGATTTGAGCTCTCTGCCCGAACCACAAAGGAGCCCTCCTGCGTCGAAGTCCTCGAACATTCCGCAAGACAAGGACTGGTACATTGGACCAGATCGGATTCTGCCTTCGCAATTATTCTATCCATCTATTTCCGGTGAGGAGGATCATTCGTTCGTAATGCTTGGTCCTCCGAATTTGCCTACCGCTCAGCGCCACTTCGTGAAAAAGTGCATGAACTATTTCTTCAGACAGCAACCCATTCAGTTGAGCTCTGATACTGAAAGTAGTCAGATGGCTCTGATCCCGTATGACCACTCGAAGGTCAGTGAGCACGACGAGAAATTCTTCACTTTGTACACTGCCACAAATGGAACTGTGTCAGTTACACAAGAGAACATAAAGAAATGGCCCCAGTTAGAACAAGCAGGGGCTGCCGGCTCGTCGCAAACACTGGAACCATCCGATCCTTATTCATATCTCCTTCAGAAATATCCTGCCGTGGAAGACAACCAAGACGTCTGCCCATTATACGGTGACTCAGGCTCAGAAGGAGAGTTTGATGAAGAAACTTGGCAGGAGATTGCTAATGAACGCGATGATATTGCTCAAAGTAAACCGGCAAAGCTGACTCCCGCTGAGGTTGACTCAGTAATCGAAGATTGTATGGCTGAATTTGTGAATCGGTGGCGCCAGAATGGCTTACCGAAGGAGGAATATAAGGCCCGGAAGCTTTGGGTCACAGCTCGAAGGGCGAAGTGTACTTACCAAAAAGTCAAGGCCATCAATCGCGACGTGACCTTGCTGGAGAAACGGTTAGGCAAAGTGCTCGAAGCAATACGCGGAAGTGAATATGCCTCAAAATCGGAGTTACAAACACAGTGTCAAAGCATGGAGCAGACTATTATCGATATACAGAAGCAAAAGTGGCGTGTCTCGGTTTTGGAGGAAGAGAAGTGTCCGCCAAAGGTAGCTTCTGCCCCAAAAACAAAGCCATTGCCAAAACCAGAGGTTAGGGCCGCAGACGAGGAGTCTCTTCACTCAGAATCCGATGTCTCTTCTGACCTCCAGGATGACTTCATCGACGACTCCGAGGTTCAGGGAGGGGCCTCGTTTATTGAAAACCCTGGAAACGGGGACAGCATCGACAGAAGGCGAACAACACCGGCGTCGACGCCCTCCACGTCCGAAAGCGATGATGACATTATCAGTCCCTCGGGAATCAGACGTAAATCAAGGGCCAAGAGGTCGCCTTTCATGGCAACCAGCTCACCCTCTCCTGACTCTTCCGATAACGCGCAACGGTCAGAGATTATCGACCTCACAATGGACTCTCCCCCAGCTTCAGCAGACGAATTCAGGATCGAAACGCCGCCACTCAATCCTGTGCGACCAACCAGGTGGACAGAATCGGATGACGTTAGCTTGAAGATCGAACGAAGTCCTTCGATATCTCCCCCTCCCCGACTCAGCTCCAATGTAGTCGTCGAGATTCCGAAGCGACCAGAAATCATCAACCGGAAACCTGAAGGGTCGAAATCGACGCGCAAGTTCAACACATCAGATCTGCCTGACCACAATGATTTCGATGGTCTGCTGTCGTACCCTTGGGAAGTTCTCGAGGAACGCCACGATCGCCGTAGATTGCTTGCAAAGTTAATTGCAGCCATGCCTGATAGCGAGCGTGAAGAGATGGCTTCATCGATACCTGAATACGAATATGGTGAATTGAAGGAACTTGTCGGTCAGGGTCTTGGAATTCTTCTGAAAGGTCAGATAGGGATACCCGAACTCGATAGTGAACAGAGCGAGCTATTAATGCGGACCGCCTCACAATTCATATCTTGGGTTAATTGCATCTACATTCCAGCATCAAAAGGGATCAGCAAGAAGCATATCCTCAAGGCCCAGGACGAAATTGCTGACTTCAAAGTCTTCCACAAAGAGCTCTGCAAGGGACTAGGACTTTGCAAGGGTCTGAAGTTCGCGAGAGAACCGAGCGAAAAAAGCACTCGCACCTCAAGCGAGCATGTCGATGAGTCGGAAGGAGAAAATTCTGAACATGTCAATGCGCCTCACAAGAAGCGGAAGAAGGAAGTCAAAGAAAGTCAAGACGTCAAACGAAATCAAGCAAGTGCACAGCAGCGTGTAGCGCGGCAGGAAAAAGAGCGAAGACGGCTTGAACACAAGATGAAGCTTATGGGTGTGAGCAACACCGATCCTACTCGTCAAGCAGTGAGCTTTGGAGACCCAATCATCTACTTGGATCCGCATATTGGTCAACGCGTAAAGCCGCATCAATTGAATGGCATTCAGTTTATGTGGCGGGAGTTGATACAGGACGAGAAGCAACAAGGCTGTCTGCTCGCCCATACGATGGGGTTGGGAAAGACAATGCAGGTCATTTCGCTGCTTAACACTATATCTGCCGCGGCTGCTTCCAATGATCCGAAGATCAGCGAGCAGGTCCCCGAATGCTTCCACCGATCGCAAACGTTGATTCTTTGTCCTTCGTCTCTGATCGATAATTGGTACGAGGAGTTCCTCATGTGGACTCCTGAAGAGTCGTGTATTGGGTTTGTGAGAATAGTTACGGCTTCAATGGCAGTTTCCGAGAGGTTGCGAGAGGTATCTGACTGGGATGAAGAAGGTGGAATCCTGATCATGAGCTACGACATATTCCGGAAGTGGATACACAATAAAGAGACGAAAAAGATGCGCAAACCTCTACGGGATGATGAACATGCAAATGTGAGGAAATGGCTTCTAGAGGGTCCAAACATCATTGTCGCCGACGAAGCTCATAAAATGAAGAATTCTACTTCGGGAATATCTCTAGCGGCTGTGCAGTTTCGTTCTAAGAGTCGTATCGCCCTGACTGGTTCTCCCCTTGCCAACAACTTGACTGATTACTTCACCATGGTGGACTGGATTGCCAAAGGTTATCTTGGGGAATTTCCCGAATTCAAGGCAAACTATGTAGAGCCCATCGAGGAAGGTCTTTACGTGGACAGCACACACTATGAGAGGAGAAGGTCGCTCAAGAAGCTTCAGGTTCTCAAGGAGATTCTCGAACCGAAAGTTAACCGTGCCGCCATCACTGTGCTGCAGGGCGATTTGCCGCCAAAGGTTGAATTTGTCATCACTCTTCCCTTGACCGAACTGCAACAGGCAGCATATGATTCCTATGTTGACTCTGTAGTCCAGGGGAAGACAGAAGTTGGAACTGCAAAGCTTTGGACGTGGATGGCAATCCTTGGGCTCTGTAATAACCATCCGGCTTGCTTCAGGGACAAACTTCTCAGCCGCGCTAATGAAGCGCAAAGGGCAGGGTCAAGCTTGGATGAGATGCTACCGGGTGATGAACCTATAACGCAAGCGGGCATTCCTGATTCCGAGAAGCTGGTTTTTGAGCAAGAGCGGTTGTTCGCCAACGTTCCTGACATGAAGGCGCTAAATTTGTCGTATCGGGCACAGCTTCTCGACAGGATCATCAGCGAGTCAATCAGGGCGGGTGACAAGGTGTTGGTGTTCTCTCACAGCATACCGACTCTCGACTATGTTGAGCATGTCCTCAAGGTCTCCAATCGTAGTTATCGCCGTCTGGACGGAAAGACGCCCATCAGCACTCGACAAGCGGCGACCA